TGAAAATATAAGGAGAAAAATATTATTTTCGTATTTTTATTTCGCCTTGCTTTATTGAGAAGAGTTGGATAAGTGACTTCATAATAAGCGTACGAGTATCCTAAAGCTTTTATAAGAGTGCTAATAATTTCACTCTATCTTAACTACGCCTACTTTATATTCATTTAATGTTGATCTTCGTCCAACGGGGAATAAAAAAAGGCAAAAACTATTCACAGCTATATTGACTCTTAAATTTGCCGAGTACTAAATATAGAGTGTATATAAAAAATGAATTTTGTTAATTTCATCACTAAGATTAAGTTTAAGTATTCATAAATATATTTTTTTTATGAAATTAGTATATAATTATTATATCAAAGTTATAAAAATATAATATTTTTTTAAATAAAATTTTACTATTATTAACTGCATATTTTCAGTACTTAACAAAATTTATAAAAAATTACTTTTTAATCCTTTACTACTATAGTATCCCTATCTCATTGTATATTTGAAAGAAAACTATATATATACTTTAATTTGCGAGAATCGCTTAGCTTTGAGAGCAGGTGTTGCAAACTTGTTCTCAAATTGGTTACTGGTTAGAAATGGTTTAGTGCTGTTAATTGATTTCTCTATTGACCTAACTTGTACTGAGAATCTAGCCTACTTATCCATGATTGTTCATTAGCACTCAATCAATTGTGGAAATTATGGTCGGGTGAGTGTTTCTTGGTGCTTTCAGTTCTCTTTTAATGTCGTGGTCGAAGTTTATGATGGGTTGAAATATCAAATCAATAATCACCACCTTTTAAAATATTATTGGAATTCAAAACGTTAAAACTCAAAACAAAAGTTTTAAAGAAATAATTCTTTATCAAATTTTAACAGAGTTTTTGAAGAGAAAAATCATTTTAGTTGGGTTAATTAGTGCAGGGACCTCTAAATAGCAGAGACACTTGTAATCCATATTTTATCATTTGCAAAATTTTATTAGTATCTGTATTTTAATTTATTTGCTTCCTATTATAATGGAATATTCTTGACTGATTCAAGTTTGTTATGGAACTACCATACAAGAAGGTTCCGTGGCCCCATGAATCAATGTGTATGGGTCTTAATGGAAGTGAGATCAATATCAATTTTGATGTTGTTCTTTTTATCTCTGGATGCAGATTGAATCGCCATGGAAAAGTGTGGTAGTGTAGTTGTAGTTTCGGCAATCTTCAATGACCACGACAAGATCCAGCAACCTAGGGGCCTTGGGTCCAAAACACTAGAAATTCTGTTTTTTCATGTTCACAGATGATAGGGCTTGAACATCATGGTTTGATTTCAACTAAATCCAGTGAATACAAGATAGGTGTATGGAGAATTGTGGAGGTTTCAAAAGAGGATTTGTATCAGAACCCAGCAATGAATGGGGTTATACCAAAATATTTAGTCCATAGGTTGTTCCCAAATACTCAATTCAGCATTTGTATAGATGCAAAGCTGCAACTAATGGTTGATCCATTATTGCTGGTACATTCGCTTATTATATCAGAAAATGTAGACATGGCTACATCAAAACATCCTTATTTTGTTCATACCATGGAAGAAGCAATTGCAACTGCAAGGTGGAAGAAATGGTGGGGTGTCAATGCCTTGAAGTTGCAGATGGAGACATACTGTGAAAATGGATTGCAACCATGGAGTCTCAACAAGCTGCCCTATGCCTCAGGTAACTATGCATTATTTTTTTTGTTAATATCTATTAACTTAGATATTGTTATTTAAGTGTTCTTCAGTAAAACTTTAATTTTAATTAGTAAATACCACTAGCAGCAACTAAGAAATTACACTTGGTTTATCCTTAAATTAGTTCTCGTTAAGTTTGATTCACTCAAACTAAAGTAGGCGTACAGTGTCATGAACTTTAGAAAAGGTTTTATGCCATACATTTCGTTGCACTTTTGCAATTATTGTTGGAAGCTTTGTCTAAATGTTTATTAAGGAAGCATATATCATTGACAAATGTCCCAAACAGTGCACTAATCTTGAGGAAGCATGGAGTAAGCAGTAATCTATTCTCCTGTCTTGTATTTAACGAATTGGAGGCTTTTAACCCGAAAGACCAATTGGCCATTGCATTTGTGAGAGACCACATGAACCCCAAGGTGAAGAAACGTGTTTGAAGTTGAAGTTTTTGAATATTGGACAGTGGAGTACAGGCATAATCTCAAGCCAAGTGGGTCCACACCCAAGAAACTGTCCAAGATGGGAAAAACCATAAGGGCAGAACCAGATTTGTTGTAAGTAAATGGTAGCTGTTGCAGCAGGTGTCAGCCGTATCTTTCCACAATGTGGGTTGAATCTCATTAACAATGCCCCTTCAGTAAAGAAAGAATAATTCTTATAAAGAAGGTCAAAAAACAAGTAGATCATAATTGGATGAGTAATGCCATTCTCACCTTATTTTCTCACAAGAAACTCTGCTGTTAAAAGAGAGACAGAAAGATCAGAGAGAAAAATATGAGAAAAGTAATACGACAGAGAGAAATAAGGAAAAATAAATACTGTTAAAGAATGTTGAGAGAACAAAGTAAAAATATCATTATCCAAATTAGATTTGTCTTCCAACAAACTGTCCAGGAAACTCACAATAAAGGAAAAGAGGGATTCTTTTATTAACAAAGAAAGTCTGACATGTTGGCACAGGTTTACAAGACTATTATGCTCTTTTTGCATGCATTCCTTTTATAAAGAATAGTTTTATTTTTTAATGCATGCATAAGAATATATTTATTAAAAATATAATATTTATATTATTAATATATTAAATTTTATGATATTGTGTGAATTTTAATAAAACAAATTATTATATATAAATTTTTATTGTGTACTTTTAAGCTTATGTTAAAAAAATTGTATAAATAAATTTCATTTGCTTAACTCTATTTTTAAATGATATCATTGTTTGAAAATGTGAGAACTGAAGAACACAGGCATCATCAGGCTGATATTTTTCGTAAATCCTAAAGTAGCTAAGAACGAAGGGAAGGAAAAGATTCGTAGCATTTAGCAGAAAAAAAAATCTTGGGAAAATAATACAGCTTGGGATAATTTGATCATATTTCGAATAATTTTATATGTTTTCATTTAAACACAGTGTGGATGAAATAGATCTCATTGAGTCATTGTTGTTAATATGACAAGTTCTGATAATTCAATTAGTTTGAAGGTTTGAATTTAAATGTGTTCCAAATGGGAAAATGACTCGTAATTAGAGGCTCAGTCAGCTGCAAATTTCTTATTTAAAACCTAAAGTTGGCTTCTGCAACTCATTCTCAATTTTATTTACTTCAATAATCAATACATACCAAAAACATAGCATGTAATTACAAAAAGAAAATATTAGGATCCAGTGTAATTGTATACTTATATACAGTATAATATTGTGAATATGAACATGTAATGTCTACGCTAAAAGTTTAATTCCCATTATATGAATATTATATCAAAAGAGAATTCTAACACCAAATCGATATTATATAATTTTTTATGTAGTGACACTAATATTAATAAAAAATTCTTTAGAACATTATAAATTTTCACGTTTATATTTAAAAATGTTCCGAACCCAATTATTATTTAGAGGCGTTGCTTCTAATGTCACTGTATTACTATGGATATTACTATTGTCTACCAATAATTAATATTTCATACATTAACAAATAATGGTGTGTATCTTAAATATTAACAAATATCTATACATATTTTAAAGTCTTTCCCAGAGTGTTGTATGACATATTTCTACAATTTTTGTTTATATTATTTTTAAAATGTTACTTTCTTATTTTTCTATATATTTCTTAATCTTTTATATTCTGTTCTTTTAATATATATATATATATATATATATGAAAAAAATGAATTTATAAATTAAAATTTAATAATTTAACTCTTTTTAGTCCATCAAATATTTATAATATATATTAATTCAGTCTTTTAAATATTTAAAATAGTTATTCCTTCAATTATTAAAATATATAAAAATATTTTTATTTTAACGTATAACTTCATAAAATGGTAATTTAAATAATTAATAATATTAAAATATTACATATTTTATAAAACCTCACATCACGCGAACATAAAATCTAATATTTTATTTTATATACACATTACTAATAATAGACAAAGCAGTGACGCCGCACCCATCGGAACAGTGTCAACATCAAACACTTCTTTATTTAATTACATTACCCTTCTTTTTAAAACAAATATTCAAAAAATTTATTAAATTCAAAAGTGGAACAGGATGTGAATGAATTATCCATATATTTTTCCAAATTCAACAAAAGTGGAAATAAATTTATTTTCTTTATTTCATTTTAACTTGCTCAAACGCGATCCAAACCCCTTTCCCTATATACCATGCCTAGTTTTATGTTAATAGTGCTACTGGATTGAGGAAGCAAAATGTGGCACCAATTGTGATTTTATAGGTTATTATTTTCTTATCGGGTATTATACAATTTATACTTCAAGTTAGCTAAAGGGTATTGTATTCCAACACAATCAAATAAGTTCAACTCCATTCTGCTGTAGGACGCCAGAGTATGACAAAAATATTAACAACATTCACCATAACATTATTTTACATACAACAGTAGTGAACCTAGCATTAACTAGTTATTCGCTACTCAACAGATCTTTGGGGAACGCATGTGTAATATTGCTGTTTATTTGAATGCAACAAATATTGTACAACTACTATATACTACAAATTTACCCATGTCCCCAAATCGAGTAAATTTGTCATTCCTGTAACACTTCATTTTAATTACTTTTCTCATTTAAAAACTTAATTTTATCCTCATTTCAAAGAGAAATTAAAATTACGGAAAAAAAGTATCATACGAAGTTCAGTATTACTCCTAAAAGACTGAATTATACCGAATAATACTTGTGCAATTGTAAGAAGACCTTTAAGGAGTACGAGTAATTAAGAGAGAGGGGGGGGGGGAGAGGGAACAGACCAAAAGTTCATCGAACCAAGATCGACGAGAAATGATTTACCAAATATGTAAGATATGAAAATCACAAAGTAACAAGAACTTTCAATGTGACTATAATATCTAAATCAACTCGCATAAAATAGTTGGCGGACACATTGAGTCAAGTACAATAAAGTTAAAAAGAACAGATTAGGCTAAAATTCAAAATGCCACAAGGCAGTCTGGCAAGAGAAACAAGACACGGTGACAAAAAAGACAGCTCCATCCACCACCATAGCAACCTCAAAGCCTTCTACCCCTCCTACCACTCTTTCTACGGGTGCTATCTGAAGGAATTGGTGTCACGTCCTCTGAAATTTATTTTAAAATAAAGTCATGGAAATAAAAACAGATCAGAAAACCTAACTAATAAATAGATTGACATGTGCATAACAAAAAGAAAAATAAAAACAAGGGGGAAAAAATTACTTCATTATATATAACTCAAACAAAACAGAAAGACATGTAGCATAACAACTGCTTAATATTGGAGGCAAATCAAGCTTAGAAAGGTATCCTGAAAATATACCTATGCGACCAATTTTCATTCCTGACCGAGCCAAAGCTCGTAGAGCAGACTGAGCACCAGGACCAGGTGTTTTTGTCTTGTTACCCCCAGTTGCACGAAGCTTAATATGAAGAGCAGTTATGCCCAACTCCTGCTCCAGAAACCCCAGAATCAAATCAACAGAATTCGACAATTATGAGAAAATATATCCATATGAAAAGGAAATTACAATTGATACTCGTTAGAAATCAAGAATCAAACGATTAGAATTCTACCAAATTCATGATGAAAAAAGCAACCTCTGATTGTAAAAGTATTGTAAAAGTAAACATGAATAACAAGGCAATAATAAATTAAATTACCTTGCACCTGGCAGCTACATCTTGTGCAGCAAGCATAGCAGCATATGGAGATGACTCATCTCTGTCAGCTTTAACCTTCATTCCACCTGAAAATCAAAAGCAAATTACACGAGAATACCACGGCACTGTATACATTATTCAGTAAGAAAATCACAAACTTAAGATCGTTGACTTAAACAGAAATGGAAACTAAGTTTTGTTTTGCAGATTGTGAACATCTATAAAGATAATGTAAAACAAAATTAAAAATGACAATTAATCTTCACTTTCAAAATAAACCTTAGGTTAAGAACAATTTCAAAGTTAAAACAGTTTGGCAGAGCCAGAGTTCCTCAGCCCAAACATGAGTCTTGCAAAAAAGTGATACAATTTTCGGCAGGAAATGCTAAGGAAAATAGAACACACACATTCTAATTTAAAAAATAATAGATTCACTTAAATTGATTATGGAACTATATTAAAAAAAAAAACAATTCAAAACTTAACAAGAATATGTAGCCACTAAACAAGAATCTTAGCTGAATCAATTCAGGGTTTCCTTCCAAGGAATGTAAAGAGAAAAACACTTACCAGTAATGCGAACAAGTGTTTCTCTTCCAGACAAATCAGTCACATGCTACAATAACACAGATAATCCAATTATAACAAGAATTCCAAAACCACTAATTCAAATTGGATTAAACTAAAAATCTGAATACTCACGATGAAGGTGTCATTAAATGATGCAAATATGCGAGCCACACCAAAAACATGTTCACCGTCTCTGACGGCAGGACCAAGAGTCACATTTTCCTCCTTTGGCTCCCTGACCTTTCTCTTTGACGACTACAGTCGAAAAACGATAACTTGTCAAAAAAAATTGAATGTATCATGCATCCCCAAAGATTTAAACAAGAAACATTCACAACAACTTCACTTTATTTGAGAAAGATCCATCATTGACTCATTCTCAATAATTACTATACGACTCCTTTCAATTTTGTTTTACCCATTTATTAATTTTAATGGAATTCAATCAACTAAATGAACAAACAGAGACAAGGTGGCAAAATAAAAAGTAAATTAAATTCGACGCGCAATCACCATGAAAAATTAAAATCAAAAGCTCGGCCAAAAAAAATCTAATAAAAATTAAAATTTCGCGAACAACAAAGCATGTATAAAAGAGATGACATATGTTCCGAAATTAGAACGACAATCAGAAGCATCACGATTTGAATATGACTATCTAATCTGAAGTGAAAATACAGAGTTACAGAGTATCTAGATACCATGGCGGATGCTTGCTAGGGTTTTTGGACGAGCCTTCAGAATTCAGATCAGAGGTGCTTGACGGCTTTTCTTTTCTTTAATATAAGAAGATGGATTAGGGTTTTGATGTTGGAACCAAATATTTGCCATTGGACCTGGATACTCCAAAACCCATCGGGCCTCCGAATCCAAAAAATAATGATTTTAGATGGGCCAAGTTGAATAAAATGTACATTTAGGATTATTTTTTTTGTTAAAATAAGGTTAAATTTAAAAAAAAAAAACTAAAATAAAGTATTTATGAAATATTATTCAAAAAATAAATATCAAGGCCTCCAACTCCAAAAGAGAATATAAGTGATTTTAGACGGACCTCTCGCTCAAATAATGTAAAAACACACTTGTATTAAAATTTATAATTTCAAGTTTAGACTTCAAGCTGTTGTCATTTGGATAAAATGCATATTTAGGAAAAAATTTTGTTAAAATAAGGTTAAATATAAAAAAACTTCACTAAAATGAAGTGTTTATGAAATATTTTATTTATATTTTTCGTTAAATATCATTTTATACCAGATTGATATTTATTTTTTTAATAATAAAAAAAGTGTCATCTATATAAAATCTAACACTTAGTAAGTGTTAAAAAAATAAGGATTATATAAAAGTTGATATTTATTTTTTTATTATTACAAAAATAAGATTGATAATATAAATTATAATTGTTATAAAATTAATAAAAGTCGTCACTTATTTTCTTATTAACTGTTGTTACTATGTACGTGTTAGAATTTTTTAGATGAAATTTTTTTTGTCATTCTGAGTAAGAAACAACCTAACACCTTTTCTTCAACTGCAAATTTTCATATAACATTTGGTGTAAATGCTATGTGTACTGAATAGGAAACTGTTCGATCTTACATATAAGAAAAGAAAATTGAGTACCTATTCGGTGGCCTAGTTTGGCCGAATATCTTGTTATCAGGATTAAAAGATAATTAACTCAGTTAAAGATAATAATCAAAGCATTGTTTACTTTAAGTAAAGGGGCAAAATCAAGGTTGACTCATCAAGTCCATTAGCCTATAATAAAGTCTAGGAAGGTAGAGATAAAGGTAAAGGGTTGACTTTCATTATAAAATAGCATTTATTGTTTAGAACTAAATCCTGACTTCAGCATGTAGTGCCTTTTGCAGTCACGTCAGCAACAGTCAGAGAAACGTCATCGCTACAGATTAAAGACTTGAAAATTAATATTTTCCAGGAGGAACACTATGAATAGTTGGGAGTTCAAGTAAGCCTTTATGTAAAAACCATTTATGCAACATTCTGGTCTCATATCCAATAAGATTACAAAGAGAGCTTAAGATTCCATTTGGTTTGCTATTGTTTGGTCACTATGGCTGCATAGGAATTGTATTCTATTAAAAAAAATGAAGATCTTAATGCTGAATGGTAATCGATATGATACAATTAAGGTCTTAGCACAGCTCAGTGAAAAAGTACACATGTATTTAATTGTTATTTTTATGAGTGGATAAATGAATCTTTATTATGCAAGATATTAATGAAGACATGGAGTATTGAATATGTTTTAAAAAAATGTTTGTGCTTTTGAAATTTTATGAATTATCATTTTATGGTGATATTGACTTGATGCCAAATCTTTGAAAATAATGCAATTGTAATGATTGTCATTATTATTCCAACTTTGTCCGACTCTGTAGGATTATTGATTGATAATTTACGTTCAATGGTCTGCCACATACAACGACTTGGTTTTAGAATTTAGACGACCAAAGTTGTGATACATGTGTTCATCATCTCAAACCCAAATGGCTAAATCTGTCCCCAGAAATAATGAATGTTATGATAATAGTTGTCATGAAATTGGATATACATGTTTGTGCTTTGTAATTTGATTTTTAAGTGTTTGTTTTCTTAAGATTTCTTATGTCAAATTCTATATGTTATTTAAACTAGATATGCTTGGTATGTGATTTTTTTAATTAAAATGTGAACAAGATGATGCCAAATTTTCTTGCAAATGATTTTTAATTAAAATTTACCTTACTGAAACTTTAGGTTAATAAATGAACTTATATTTTGTAATTAAAATATCATATTAAATATATATGATAAAATATGTAAGATTATCCTTTTCCTAAGGGGGCGTATAAGATGAGTTTTTGTTTTTTTTGCCATAATTAAAAAATTTATGGACTTAAACAAAGTCTATATAAAATTTCTTACTGCAAAGTTATAAAGCAAAAGTCTATAATCAAATAATTCGAACATTTTTAATAGATAATATGGCTAATTTATTATAAAAAAATTGGTTTATTCGATAAAGTCATGATTTGTAAATATATATTATGTTTAGTGTGATTAAAAAATAAAATATTCAATTACAGACATTAAAAAACCTAAAGGTCAAATTTATTTAATTACTAATTAAAAAAAACAGTTAACGAGTTAATATCAGAGTTCAGAATGAAATAAGAAATTGTTAATTACTTTAAAAAATTAAATATTGATATAATTCTATTTTAAAAGAAAAAAGTCAAATTCTTCGTATACGACATAACGATGAATTAATTAATTGACAGAGTTTTGTTTTAGGTTTGTGAAAGATACATATGATTTAAACAAAAATAAATAATTATTTATAAATCATATTTATAAAATATAAATTTTAAAAATGTAGTTATATGTCCTAAAAAAATATAGTTAAAATTTATCAGTTGAATTGTATTTTTCATTCCTCTAATTTAAATTGCATGTTATTCTAATATGTTTAATTAAGTTCATCCATACCTAAAATAGTTTAGCTCCTCAGTTGATCTATTTTCCTACTAAAAACCTTCAATATTTTTATGTTTTATCTAAATTTAGTTTATAATGGTATTGGAGTATGAGTAAATACTAAAGCAAAAAAAAGAGTATGAGTAAATATTTAAAAAAATTAAAAAAAAAGAAATTTAGTGAAAACTTGAGAAAATTTAAAGAGAAAAACTTGGAAGATTTCTTTTATTTTGGATAAAACTTAATAGTTTGATTGATTATTTTAATTTATAAAACAATGAGAATTTAAGAGTTTTAGACAGAAATAAAAATTTACAAGAGACGAAATTTAGTAAATTTTAAATGTAGAGAAATATAATTGTCTCATAAAAGCTTGAAAGACCAAATTACACATGATCTAAGTTAAATGAACAAAAAATATAACTAACCCAATATTATCTTACTATAAAGAATAAAAAAATACATTTTATTATATTAGGATTGACAAATATAATTTTATTTTAATATGATATCTAATTATGTTTTATTTTTCATATATTTATATTCTAACTATGCCACTCATACTTAATGTGAGATAATACATACAATTACAGAAGTTGAGGTACACACAGTCTGTTTGATTTACTAAAAAGCCAGAAATTAAAAAGGGGTGGCACAATCTGGCCATTAAAGCAGTTTACTGATTAGAATTTGGGTCAAACTTTCAATGAAGCCATCACTGATCGAAGCAACATTACATGTGAGAGGTTAGCAAAAACTAAAGATGATATAGTCTAATCATTTTGTGTCAAAATGTGAAATCAATTATCTCGTTTTAAGAATGGGTATGTGTTAATGGGAAACATAATGTAAAATTCACTACAATACTTTTTTATACATGCAAAATATTAATCTCTTAGCTTAAGGATACCCTAATACACAGCAATACATTGGTGAGAAACATAACATCTGTGGTCAAAAGTGAAAAGTGATCTCTCTGTCACTGTTGGGTATTCGCATTAGGTTAAGTACAAACCTTAAAAAAATGTAAAGCCATGGCATAAAAAAGAAAAGAGAGGTTTATTTTGCAAAAGATGGTTCAATCATTAAGTTTAAGGGTCATGGTCGTTTTCTCGTGAAATTGGGCCATCTTCAATAATCATGAGACTTCGTTAAGTGGATGTTGGTGTCTAGTCATTCTACCACGTTATAACCATTACAAAATTTTGCAATTTGAAAGGATTCAAAAAATGTACATATTTTATTTTAATAAATTGTGGATTATTTTATTTGGATATGAAATTTGTTTATTTATAAAAAAATTTAATTAATTTTACAAACTTAAATTAATTACATTGAAATAGATAAATGTGTATCATAAGACATATTTAAATAAATTATTTTAAAAATATTCATAAATAATTTAAAATTTATAAATTAGTCCACCTCAAATTTGATCAAATCAGGATAACTGTTGTTAAGTAGGCGATTTTTTTCCTTTAATTTTGTTAACTCAATTTACATATTTCATCATGTTATTCAAATTGATTCGTCAAATTTAATGCATTTTGACATATGAAGTTGCAACTTTGAGGACCACTATTTGCTTTAGATCATGCAATGAATACGACATTTTCTTTAGGTTCTGTACCGAAAACATTCGAATAGTAAAGTATTCTTTTATAATAAGTTTTTACTAATTTTACAGTTTAATCTTCTATTAATTTTTTATCAGTTAATTTCAGAAATAATACACGAACTAAAAAATGTAATTAATGCCTTTGTTTATGTTCAATATTTTTTTTTAACTTTTTAATAGTGTAAGTTTTGTTATTATCTTTCTTATTTATAATAAGTTCATAAAATATTTAAAAAGGATATCGATGATGTGTTCATAAAGTGAACACTATAATATTTATTATATTGAAAATGTAAAAGTTATTTAATATTATATTTAAAAGTAAATGAACTAATTTAATAAAGGATATTTAATGTTATCGCACCATATTCTCATAAACACAATATAAGATAATTTATATTTAAAAATTGACAAACTATCTTTAGGATACTAATTTATAAATTAAAGAAATTATATATGAGAAAGGATCTTATTACACCAGTGTAAATATAAAAATCCTTACACTCAATTTGAGTCTTTCATTTAATTTAAATCTAATAGATAATGAATTAATAAATTATAACTCGTTAGATTTAAGTTAAATAAAAGGCTCAAATTGAGTGTAAAAAGATCATGTCCTTATATATATATATATATATATATATATATATATAAATGTGGTAATACAATTTTTAATGCATCTTCAATATGATTTATAATAAAAAAAATATTTCTAAATTTTGTAACTATAGCATAGCACTCTCAAGGTATTGGTTAACAATATTCCAAATATAAGAACACAATTAAAAAATAATAATAATTAGTGTCTTAAAATTTTAAATGAATAGATGAATAAAAAATTCAAAAGTAGACATAAAGAAGAACAATAAAAATAATTAAATATCCTTTATATTTTTAATTAATGTTAAATAGATTTTTTTTTTATTTATACCCATTTATAAAATATGGCCATGGGTCCTACTGACAAATGTTTAAAGAGTTGTTTAAGAAAAAATTTAGAGAATAAGAGAAGGTGATAAGTTTTTTTACTTAAAATAAATATATTTTAATTTAATAATATTTTAACATAAAAATATAAAATGAAAGAATAATACAAACTTAATCATTTATTTAATATCGATAAAAAAATGTAATTATTTTTATTTGAGAATAAAAAGTATCCTTTCCTCTGAGTACTTTAAAATTTTCTCTTAAACAACTCGTAAATGTTAAAGTACATATTGGTAAATAATACATGATTAAAAATTATAGTATGCGTTAGTAACATTAAATGATAAAAAAATTTATAAAAATTTAGGCTCTACGTACTCTATAAAGTATTAGAAGAATCTTGTAAGAAGATATAAAAAGAAAATATAATATTACTAAAAAATTTATGCATCTACTTATTTCTGATTAAAAATGAATCAATATTCATAAGACATTGGTTAAACAAATAAAAATAAAAACAAAAGTCTTACTATTCTTTTTTTACTGACATCTTAGAAATTATATATTATAAATAGATTGTGTTAGAAAAACAAAACAAGACTAGGTTTTATTAAAATGTCAAAAAACAATATAGCTTGAAATTTACATTTGTGTTGTCATTGTCGTAATCCAATGGCATAATCCGGGAAAAAGTTAAAGTGTACTATTGTTGTTTATTTTCCTGAGGGTAACACTGTACGTGTAATGTGTGTTTAAATTTAAGTTAAAAATTATTAACACAAATTTAAAAACATTTAAGTGTGAATTCAAATTGGGACATATTATAAATTATTTTAAACTAATTTAGACAAATAATCACCTTGGTTAAAGAAAATGCCCTGAACAAATTGAGGTAAACAAATTAATAATTGAAGTAAGAATCCAATGGGCAATGGTTATAGAGTGATGTCTCTTAATTTTATCCACTTAAACTATAAACTACCTTTATAAACTGCCAGCCTAAGCGAAGTGCATTCATAGGATTTTGACCTCTTTGTTTCTCAAATTGACACGTCAATGACATGGTATGCAAATGTCAACCAACCCCACGTTTGAAATTGAGAAACTATACGTCCCAACTTTTCCATTCTACTTTCTTCTTAATACAATCTAATATTCACATTCAACTAACCCATGTTGGATTTATTCATTCATAGCTTTAATTAGTATATTCATGTTGCACATCATCCCTTTTCAAAGCTTCTTTATACAAAAAGTAGAATAAGTCGTTCACCACACTTTAAAAGCTCTCTTTGCCATCCCAAAAACAATCATATCCTAAAGCTTCTTTAGCTTCAAAACTCAGAGAGGGTAGCCATTTGTAGGCTTATCTTTCCATCTTGTTGTGCTGGGAGAATGCATATCTCTTGCAAGCCAGTGCACATTGTTGTAGCTTCATTTTATGTTTCTGTTCTTCTATTCAGTGAATGCATAGCCCATGAGGAAGAGGAGAACCAATTTAGTAGTCACAAGAGCACAAGTCAGAACAAAGTTTACAAGGTATACCAATTTCCCTGTGGTTTCTTATGTAGTTTCTTCATATTCATCTACTTAATTCTTCTTTGTCATTGCCCCTTTAAGCAGTTAGCAAAGATAATTAACTACCTATCTTTATCTCTCTTTCATTTTCTTATGTAAGTAATTAATTAAATATTTGATAATGCCAAATTAAGGACATAAAATCATTATTTGTATGATATGTTAGGTAAATCAGCAGAAGACATCTGATATTGCAGTACATGGATTGCTCCTTTGGGCTTCAACAGGGTTGTTAATGCCTCTTGGGATACTTACCATCAGAGGGTCTATTAAAGCAGAACCTGGATCGACAAGGAGTAAAGTCCTCTTCTATCTCCATGTTTGTTTTCAGGTATATCTCTCCCAATTTGTTCTCGTGAAAATTATGCATTATACTTTAACTTCCATTATGCACATTATGTACGCGTAGAGGGAGCATATAGTAGCATGATTGAAGCTAATCTTGACCCTTCAATCTGATACAAATATTCAAGATTGGTTTCACTTATATCTAATGTTGACCATTAAGATTGTTTTAAGATTACTTTTCTCACCTCTCCCGTTACCACTTAATAGTTAATACATCTCCAATAATATTTATCATTTACAAAAAAATTATAGAAGGTATAAGTTCGTTAACACTCACATTTGATGTCATTGGATCCTGTCTTACATTATAAATGTTTATGTTGTACCCTTAATTATATTGTTAAAAACTTTAAAAGTGGGATTAGTGGTAAATTATGTGTCCAGAATATAAATTGTTTCTTGAAAGTTACATCATGTAATCATTAACTTTTGATCTTTGTTTTACAACATAATCATGACCTACTTTAACTTTAGTAGTGGTGCGTACAGCTTTTTCTGCTGATCTATTTCCTTTTCGACCACAGGTTTATATTACTTTGATTTGTTTTAATTAACAACAATGTTATGATTATCATTTAAACTTTAACTAATTAGAAGTTAGTATACATTTAAAGTAGCAGTGGCTTTTCTGTTCTTTTGGAGGCTGTATATACATATGACTTACTGTCTTTCTATCCTTATTGTACAGTGTTTTATCTAATGATTTTTCTTTTAGACCACAGGATTTATATTGCTTTAGTTCGTTTCAATTAACTACGGTATTATGATTATCATTTGAACCGAACTGGTTAGTTACGAGTTGTGATTCATTAAAAGTAGCTGAGAATTTTGTGTTTTTTGGGATTCAGTATATTCTTACTGATATTTTGCCTTTCTATCTTCATTGTGCACGCTCTAACATTTTGTCTAACAGATGCTTTCAGTGCTTCTTGCCACAGTTGGAGCTGCTATGTCCCTGAAAAAGTTTGAGAATTCATTTGACAACAACCACCAAAAATTAGGCCTGGCACTTTATGGTGCTATATTGATGCAAGCCTTCGTTGGTTTTTTCAGACCACAAAGGTTAATTCATCAATATTTTCACATTTTGTTTCACAAAGCTGTTCACTAATCCAAACATCAAACTTTGTATAGTAGCAGCACCCATTTTCTCTGTATTTCTGAATTCATTTTAATTTGCAAAGGATGCTTCATGTTGTTTAAAATTTAATGTTCTATGGTTTGTAACTGAATTTTCAGGGGAAAGAAAGAGAGGAGTTATTGGTACTTACTACACTGGATACTAGGGACAATAGTTTCTCTTGTGGGGGTCATCAACATATACACTGGTTTAAAAGCCTATCATAAGAGGACCTTAAAAAGCACAACCCTTTGGACTATCCTTTTCACGGTGGAAGTCTCTTTCATTGGATTGATTTACCTCTTCCAAGATAAATTGGAATATATGAAAAAGCAAGGAGTGATTGTAGGAAGTGAGTCAAATGTGTCATCTAACCAAGATATTCCTCAAAGGCAAAATCAAAAGGAGTTGTTGCCAGTTGCATGTGGAAAGAGAAATGCACTTGAGAATTTGTTTGACTAATATTGGACTATCTTTAGCTTACATTTTTCTAGAGCTTTGGTGGTTAGGGGTATTGGCTTGTTTTCACTTTAGTTTTTGGTGCCTGCACTTTATGCAAGTGGGAGGTGATTTTATGAAAGGCAAGCTGATAGAGTGCATTCATCAAAAGGTGAAGTTTGATTGGTGCATGTTATCTCTTTTCTTTTTCTTCCCTATTTTTTAATGCATATTCTTTCACATGTATAACGAATATTATAAGTGTGCGTGTGGATACTGACCACAGAATGTATAGACAGTTGTGAAAGCAGTCTCTGAACTTATAATTGTCAGAGAAAATTTAGTTTGATTTTGGAATATGTATAACATTATCTTCTTTCTTTTTTTGTTTGAATTTTGCAACACAAATTGAGAGGCATATTTAAGGGGTGACAGAATCTCAATACTTCAAACCGAAGCCTATGGTGTTGTTCATCTGCTTGCTTTGCATATATTCACAAGTTAGCAATCATTAATACTTTCATCTCAAGCAGTCTATAATATTATACTACCGCTCAAATTGATGATACGCTCAAATATGCAAAAACATCACAAATCAAGAAATCAATGTCTCTATTTTATTTTAGTTACTGATAACATGGTAGACATAAATCAATTTTACTCATTAATTTAAGTTTCATGAACAGCTTGCAATGCACTTTTTCCAGTGCTGTGTGGCTTTAACAAAAATGAAACCCCCATTTCATTTAAAGTTTAATAAAATTAATTTTAAACCAATATAATTGAGATATATGCATAAATTAATGTGAAATATATTTTTTACGTAAAATATACATTTTGTATTAGAAAATGTGACAATTAACTCTCTAACCGAGAAACAAACAAATCTGAATTATTTATTTCCAACAATAACAAAACCTACTTTATAAAATTGAATGATTACAAACAACAACTGATGTACATATTACTTTTAACAGATGAAACCCCATCACATATTTCCCTTTGTTAACTTAATTTGAACGTTCACACGTTTTAACTTCTGGATAGCAATATAATTTGTTACTTTAAAAGCAGTTAAACAAAAGGGATGATTGTGGATGTGAAAAATGCATAGTTGTAGTTCCATCCTTCAATAATATGATATCCTAAGCCACGGTCCTGTTTAGTTACCGCCAACAAGTTACCCCTACGTATTATTTATTGTATTAGAAGAGTGACAGACAGCAAGCGGGGATAGCTCAGTTGGGAGAGCGTCAGACTGAAGATCTGAAGGTCGCGTGTTCGATCCACGCTCACCGCATCTTTTTTAACACTTTTTCCATTTAATTTATAAATGAGGCATCGAGAAAGTTATGTATGTCATATTTAAAACAGGCTATAGAATATCACAATTTGTGAAACCACTCGTAGAACTAACAAAAGAAAATCTAGGGGTCGATTAGCTTTTCACTCCATTCAAACCAAATAGCCGACCCATGCCCATTTTTTTGGGTTCATTAGTGAGCTTCATAGGACTACCTGGGCCTTGCCCACATCTAACTCTAACACAACACATACAATTAAGGTTATGTATGGGCTATTGCATGTTGGTTCATTTGGTATTGGAGGAACAGCTCTTACACCATGCTTAATTCATTAGACCAGCTAGACCCTCCACATGCATCATGCAATATGTGGAATTTATGACAAATTCGTTTTCATTACACAAAATTGACATGTAAAAAGAGTATGCTAGAGTGAGTATGGGCTGGTCTCCCTGATGGAGCTTGCAAGGGTGCGATCAGAGGTTCTGATGGAAGATTGGATTTGCAAATTTTCCAAAATCTTTGGATACACGTTAGCATATATGACTGAACTGTGAGGTGTGCTAAATGGTCTTAAAGTAGCTTGCAATTTGAGATTTAGAAAGGTGAAAGTTTATATTGACTTTAAAATTATTGTAAAAGGTATCACAGGTGAATCATTGAGAAGCCAAAATGGTAAGAGTCTGATTATGAAGATTCATAGAATGCTAAATTGAAAGTGGTTTATAAAAGTATGGCATCTATAGAGAGAGGAGAATACGTGTGCAGACAAGTTGGCTAATGGGAGTTTCTACTCTCCGAAAGATAGTTGCGTAGTCCTTTGTTTTTGGGTTTCTTCTCTTTCTTTTTACCCATAAAATGTTATGTACTCACAATCATTTACGTGATTTATATCAACAAAATTTGAAACCTTTTGAAGTCGCAAGTGGTCTGCCAATAAATCACTTTCCTAAGCGAGGGCCGTAATAAGATTCACAACGCACAAAGGAAAAGAGGGGGCAGAATGAGCAAATTTTAATCTCAGTTACTGGTACTTGATAAAAGTAATGTCGCTTTTTAGACATTTGAGTGGCCAATTTCTGAGTAAACTAGTTACGGTCTGCTTTCACCCATATCAAATTACTAACTTAGCAAGCACGGAAAAAATTTCATAGTAAATTTTTTACCTCTTTAAAAAAAAGGCACTCTCAGGCACTTACTTGTTAGAGAAAGCATAAGACCCGAATTAGGTCCAAGTAACATGTTATATGCATGAAAAGACACAAACACAAGAGGTCAGGTCCAAGTTGTGAAATGTCACTGAACATGCTATGAAAAGATACACAACAACACAAAGGAAACCGTTTTTCAAAGAAATGTCAACGACGTTTCTTTCCAGTAGCTGCTTCCCATGCCTGTAAGACATGAGTCACAATTTCTTCAACTCCAATGTTATGCTTCACCTGCACATGGATATGGAAATAAAGTGAAGGAGAGGAGTAAAAAATTTAAAGGGTTATTATGGTCGTTCGTGATACAAGATCAGAACAAAAATATGTGGATGATTGGATGCTCAAAATGTAACATGGTTAGGATGCTAAAAATTGGAAAGCTGAAAAAGGAGCCAAATGCTGTTAGGAGAGTAGTGCGTTGAACAAGGCATAGCTTACAACAAGCTATGCTATTACCTCCATTGAGATGTTAAAAGGAAGTGAAGTAGTGAACTGAATAATATGCACACACACACAAACACACATACAGAGTGTATCAAGTAAAAATGTGAAAAGTGAGAAGTACAATCTTAACCAATGTCCTCTATAAGAGAGAGGATGAGAGGAGTTAACCTAACATTCAGTCTTACATGGATGGTTAATATCAATTTTACTTATATCTAATATTGACCTCTACGCAAGAATAAAGGTCAAAGATTAATTCTTCTCATCTTGTGCTCTCACTTGATATACCCCTTATACACAAACAAACAGTCTTCACTCTTCATACTATGGCAATTGTTAGGCACAAATAAATTTTGATTTAGAAAAATTGATACGTGATGCACTTTTGTAAATCAAATAAGATAAACAGACAGAAAAGTTTGTTATGTTCTTCTTGTTATCATGAAGGATAAAGATTCATCTTATTGCACAATTCAATTGTATATTTACAATGGATTTGATCCAAGTATTTTAGAAAGTGTCTACTGCTTACAAGTTCACAATATGTAGGCAATTTACACACACAAACACACACCTATGGTATACCTAAGTTTTGATTAAAAATAGTCACACCCTTCCTTGTTTATTTCCTATTCAGAAAAACAAATTTAAGAATCACCACACAATACATCACTCAATCAATTTTCTCTGAATTTATCTGGTGAAAACTCTGATTTATGGATCAATATCATTGGCGTGTGAACAATTCAGTTGTCTAAACAAGGGGGAAATGTATTCCAAATCCAAAGACAAAGTTACAAAGGTATGGTGTCCCTTGGTCATATGTGGACACATGATATTAAGGTTGGGCCATTTACTTCATATCAGCGGTTCCTTATTTAATTCTTTCTAATCACAGACAATAGCAGAGTACTTCTGTTCTCTTTTTATTTTGTTCTTTTATTTTATTTTCTAAAACCACTTGCTTCAAGTGTGATAAATGTCCAGACCTTAAAAAATAACATGGGAAAGAAGGCATTCTTTTTTCTGGGTAAGATGATACTTCTCTTTCAAACTTATGACTTGTACCAGTTCTTTTTTACGCAATAGTTAATACAGAGCAAAACAAGAGTGAAATTGATTCAGAGACAAAGCAACTACAACTCAACATATGCTAAGGCCAGCTACTTAGCTATAAGGTGAACGTGAACAACAAGCAGCCTTATTTTTGTAGATTTTGATAAACTTTTGCAGGTGGACTCTCAAATATCCTCTTTCACTAAATTCATGTACTTTCTGGATCTATATTTCCAGCTATCATCAGCTAGCAAAGTTACGGCAGACTATTCCATACAAATCTAACTCTATAATCCCTCTCAAATGTTCAAATTGTGCAGTTTTCTTTAAAGAAAACATGTGATTAAGGTTAAGGGTTAAAGGTAAGATGACCTGACAGTAATGTTAATAAAATGTATAAAATGTTGACTGCAGAATATGTTTAATGCCACAAAGGGTTCAAGAATAGAAAAAAAGAACGCAGCAGGCCTAAGTGAAAAAACAAAACTTGACTATACCACAGGGTTTAAGTGTATTAGGTAGCAACTTAAAAGTTAAAACACTACAAAGGGTGCATTTGAATATGCAGCTTAATTAATTGCTAATACAATAAGCTTTTTTAAATGATCACTTGATTGCCATAAATTTAACCATGAAAATTATTGGGTTAACCTAATAACAGCTTATTTTGATAGGTTAAAAAAAGAGAGTGTTCCAAACAGGCCTTAACCCAATAAAGAAAGCACTTAACTAACCTGTGCAAAGACAAATGGCCCCCCATCTCTCATGCGAAGAGCATCCCGCTGCATGACTGCCAAATCAGCCCCAATTGCAGGAGCAAGGTCAGTCTTGTTTATCACCTGCAATGAATTCCATAATCATACTGAGAAAAGAATAATCAATGGCATTGACATTGATGTATGAGAAGCACGTACAAGAAGATCAGCCTGTGTGATTCCGGGACCACCTTTGCGAGGAATTTTGTCACCACCAGACACATCTATTATGTAAATTATATAATCAGCCAGTTCCCTGCTGAAATTCGCAGCCAGGTTATCTGCACAAAATCAAAAACCAAACTTTTTGATAATTTCAAAACCAAAAATGTTATATTTATCATAATTTAAATTCAAACAAATGAAGCAATTAAAAGTAGCCCACCTCCCCCAGATTCACATAAAAGTAAATCTGCTTTGTAGAGGTTGGAAAGCTCTTCCAGCGGTCCAAGATTAATACTTATGTCCTCTCTAATAGCAGCATGTGGGCACCCCCCAGTTTCCACAGCACGTATCCTTTCCTCAGGAAGTGCTTTGTGTTTCACCAAAAACTCGCCATCTTCTTTGGTGAATATATCATTTGTCACCTTTAAGTAATAACAAAATGGAATGTTTATACTTTATACTTCACAGCGAGAGAGTAAGAGAGTAGAGCGGTTCACTTACAGCTGCGAGACTGTAGTTATCCCGCAAATGCTGACAAAGGGCCAACATGAGAGCTGTTTTGCTGCATTGGATGGGTTAAGGGTTATGGCATTATGCGTGATAAGAAAGAGAGAGAGAGAGAGAGAGATGAAGAGAAAGAGAAACAAACCCAGTTCCAACGGGTCCACCAATACCAACAGTGAAAGCTCTTTCGTTGAAATTTCTGGTGAGAGGTGGAGCTCTTCTGCTGAAGTAACCAGGTGAGTATATGGGTTCGTGAGAATGCGGCGCAAGACCATCGTGGCTGTGATACACCCTCCCATCAGCTCCTACCCATGACTTGCTATCTCCATCTACGTGCTTGTGATCATCATGGTGATGATGATGGTGATGGTGCTCATGCTCCTCGTCATCATGCCTATGAGCGCCTTCCGATGCCATTCAATCACCCTCAACTCTGCACTTCACAACCATACACAGCCCAAACAAGGTCAAATACAGAAGATATCTTATTTTTACAATAACTATACTTGTAATTTAATAATTAAAAAACAAATTTTTTTATTCTTTTTATTTCTTATTGAAATTTAATAATACTTGCAGAATTTTGGGTGAGATTCGTTGAATGAGAACCAAGACTTTTTTTATTATTATGTAAGTATTAATATATTTTTTATCAATAAGAGATAATGTGTTAAAAAGTTATACTACAAATTGTGTTACTAAATTTGTTTCTTAATGCATAAGATCGGTTGTCGTTTAGTTCAATTGTGAATATTTTAACCTTTTAAACCTGGCCTAAACTCATTCAATTTCTTAAAAATACTCGTAATATATTTAAATATAATATTTTATTAGAAACTAAAAATTATTAAAAGTCATAAAATTATATGGATTATATTTTTTATTTGATTAATCTTACTTATAATTTTATAAAGTTTAAATAATAATAATAAAATAATTTTTAGTAAATAATTCGTCACTTAAAGTTGTTAACTATTTTTTTTAAGAAAAGGACAATTAAATTGTGTTAGTTGTTTATAAAAGAGTATTAATAAGTGTCTTAAAATATTATTTAAAAAATAAAATTTGTATTATGTTAATGAATGTATTGTAGGTAAAGATTAATCAAAGGTCAACATAATTGTTTAATGTTTTGAAGATTTAATTGTATTTTTCAACATATTAATATGCAATTTAAGTTTTGTTTCGGTATTTTATTTTCAAATTATTTAAAATTCTCAATGGTTATAATTTAGTCTTTGTTTTAATTTGTTATTTCATAAAACTCAAATTCTATTTTTTTTTAACTCAGATAACTGAAAGTTTAGGTAAAACTCGAAATATATAACAATTTGAAAGGATATTAAAGGTGTCAGACTAAAATTCAGTAAAAAATCTGACCTAAAACAAGAGTAAAATTCTCATATTTCCATATTAAAATGTATTAAATTTATTTTTTTTCATTTTCATTTTAATTAAACAATATTTTACTATCTGGATGTTTTTCTAGTACAAACAAAGGATGTTATTAGATTAGTAACTGGAAAAAGGAAAACAAATGATATTAGTTTTGTCTGTTAGTTTAAAGAAGCGTGAGGGATTTGGATGCTCTGTTCTAAGTTGAAAATTGAAGGATGAACGTGAACTTTCACATGGTTTCTACAAAGAAGACAAAGAGAAAGCTTAATTTCATCAATGCTTTCGATTGAAAGAGTGCCATGCGGGGTGCCACGTTGTTTATTTCAGCACTGATTAGCAAAACTAAGAGCACAGAGTTACAAAATCTGTCAGACTGTCATATTAAATTATCATTCAAATTTTGTTTTATTTGACCCCCAAAAAAAGTTCCCATTTAATAAATACAAAATATTAAAAATTATCATAATAAGAATTGATTTTAACAAAATTCATATTTGGAAGTAAAAGGTGTGAATAAATTTAGTTATTAGTGAATTATTTAAATAAATTGTTGAATATTTTATAAAAAATTAATTAATTAATTTGAAATTGATTAGATTGATTTTATGAATAATTTAACCTAAAATTTTACAGGGTTAGTAATAAAATATTGTAAATAGTTTGTATGTATATGTATGATAATAAAATTTATATTTTTTAAAAATGAGTTATATGTAATAAATTAATATTTTTGATAAATTATTATTTAATTTTTATGATTTATTTTTCACTTTTTCATATTTTGATATAAAATATATTTTAAAAATTCAGAAAACTTCAATATATATATATATATATATATATATAATCAAATTAAACTAAATACAAATTTCATATTTTCTACTGTATTTTATAATAATAGTTTGAAAAATTTTAAAATGTTTTTAATTGAGATAGATTTTACTCTTTTCACTAGTTTTTCTCTTTTATTTTTTATAATTAACTTTAATTTTAATTTTTTTTACTTCAATAATTTATTGAGAAAGACATATCATAACATTTTACTGAAGTCTAGAAAAAAGGAATATGGGCATGCACAAATATTCCCAACATATGATACATGCACTAAAAACATTATTCACGTTTATATGAGTATTCTAAAATACAAATGTGTATACACAAATATCATAATGCCCCTTATAAGATTTTGCTGGTTCTTACTCTGGTGATTGAAGAGAAATAGTATGACTCATTGTTGAAAATAATTGATGAGGATACGCTTGTATGATACATACATAATCCACTTACTTCAACTCTCTGTCTCCATTTTCATACATTCTATTTTTTTTATTGTCTGACAATTTTTTTTTACCATATTGAAATTAATTCTTTAAAATTAAATTTTGTTAATAATGTATTATTATTACTATTGTTTTAAAGTTAAAAAAAATTATTATACTTAAAAAATGATTATAGAAAATATATTTATCTTATTTTAAGAGTCAAAGGTAAAATCTTATTTTACTCACTCAACCAACCTTCTAAATTTTAAAAACATGCTTTACTATGTCAAATAGTTTATTTGCCGTGTTTTAAAGTTAAAATATAAATTAACACCATTTATTGTTAACTCAAGTATAAAAATAGCTAGGTATTATAATAAATAGTATAAGTATTTTTTTTTTATATATAAGGTATTTCTCATAGTGATGATTATTGTGGTATAATATCAAATATAATAAGAAATTTATAATAAAGATAACAACAAAATAAAATAAAAAAGTAATGGAAAACTCACTTGTCAGAAGTGGGATTTGAACCCACGCCTTCTCACGAAGACCAGAACTTGAGTGCATAAAAGACTATATAAAAAATAATATTAAACATTTAAAATAAGAAAATCGACTCCGCTGGGGATCGAACCCAGAATCTCTGGTTCCGTAGACCAGCGCCTTATCCATTGGGCCACGGAGTCTCTTGCACAATAGCATATTTAAATTATGATAAAATTATTGTAGTATATTCAATGAAGTTTATTTTAATCACTCTTTTGTAATAGGGGCTACATAAACTCACACGGTTGCACCAAGATATGTGTAGCTTTGCTTCAAGAGAAATTTACCTAGGTTGCTTTATCATACTTTCTGTTCTTGTTTTTTTTATATATTTAGCTATTGATGATTCTATAATTTAATTCGCATGCTTAATGTTTTTGATTAAAAAGCTGATTACATAACACTAACTGAGCACCGTTACCACAAATTGTTTTGGATGAGGGAGACAAAACATTATTATTAATTCCCCAACACTCTCAAATCATTATGTTTACTGTTTAAGCTACATATTACAGCTCAAAATTGCTAAGTTGTCGCAAATCCTACCTATAAAACGTATTGTAGTGTTCCACTATCATTTATTCATTTTCATCTCAACAACTTACATCCAAGTAAGCCAAATCTTGTGATTCTTGATCAACTGAGAGCTGGTTGAAAAATGGAGTCCTGCAGGATTGCAGTAGTTTTTACTGTCTACATTATGGCTATATTGATTTCTGCTTACTGTGGTGTAGCAGAGAGTGTAGCTGAAGATGTTGCCGCAATTCCTCCCACACCAATGGAAAGTGCAGGAGTACACCTTGGTGCCCCAGCTGGACTTAATATCATTGCTTTTGCGGTTGCTTGGTTCATCTAATCCCAGTAAGCTAATGCCCAGTTGCTGATAGGGTATTCAATGAAATGATTTAATTCTTTATTTTCATTGGGTTGATGCTTGTGATAACAAAGTTGGAATCTGGAATTCATCTATGTAATGTGATTTTATGTAGAAATCCGTTTTTCTTACACAACATTGTCTGTTAACTATATAATGGCTTTCTTATAGTGGAATCAACCAAAAAATGAAAGTAGCCAAACAGAAGTAGCTTCAACTTCTAGAATAATGTATTCTTTACTAACTTTTAATGGAAGAGAGAAGAGAACAGAAAGGATAACAAAATAGATGTCGAAATATTTACACATTACTCTAGCATACCAACTGAATGAAGTAGCACACACGGGAAGACAATTAAGTAATACACATTTGTAATGAGAAATAAATAGGGAAGCTAATTCAGTAATCCGCAAACAAGTCCTAAACTCAAATCATCGTTGCCTTATGGAACCAAAAAGATCACGGTATGAGCGTTTCAGAGCATCAGGACGCGAGACAATCTCCACAACTTTATAAGATGCCTCAGGATATGCCAATGCCTCAACAGCGACTTCTGCAACTTGATCTCTGGATATGGTTCCTTCCGAAAGGGTGTCCTGATACACAAAAAGTAATTCTTTCCAGAATTGTTCTACAAATCTAAACTTGATTGTACTATGGAATTGTAATAGAAAATCAGAAATGTAAGCAATACCTCTGGCTCCATTACAACATTTCCAATAGGAGGATCGTTTCTCAACCCGCCAGGTCTTATTATTGTGTAATTTATACCGGATTTTCTGATATGATTCTCTGCCTGTAGTTTTGCTACCAAGGTGAGTCCAAAAACATTGAGAAAGATGTAAGCTGGATTTAGTAGCTGTCCCATAGCTGCTCCATTAACTAAAATTGAACTGATCAGAATGAATCTGTTAACATTACGTTTCCTGCATGCTTCAACAAGGTTTACCGTGCCAAAATTGTCAACCTGCATAATATATCCCTTAATTATAAGAAAGCACTGAATGATAATACCAAGAGACATAGTAATCCACCCAACCTACAACGATTGTTGGCTTCTTCGTTGTGAATTTTCTTTGCAATTTAATTAGTTTCTTATTAATTCATCTATTTGAAGGACAGATAGTATTTCAAATTAGTATGATACAGATATTTTATCCCTTCACAAGTGCAGAATATAAATTAGGAATCTCCTTGAAATTCTGTAAATCTCGTGCATAGCAATACATTTGTAAATAAGAGTAGAAAAAAAAAAAATCCTAATGGCTCTCCATCTACATCCTTGACTCCTAGTAATAACCAAAACGATGTAAGTTACCAAACAAGAGCTTCAGGATGAACCAAAGTGCAGAATGAAACACTGAAGAAACAGAGATCATCGTTAGATTACTCTCACAATTTCATTACCCAAAAAGCAAGTAGGAAAGGGGAATCAATTCTTTAAACAATGAAAAACGCTACCATATACATATATGTGTAACATACAATCAAACAAGACTATTCAACCAAATGAATATGTTGAGCCGAGCCCAACTATTACCCAGAGTTCATGTAATCAAAGTTTAATTCTAAACCAAACCAAGGGCATTAAACAATGCCAGCCAGCTGATATTAAAAGTGAAGCATTCTAACATAACAAAATGGTTATACACTCAAACATTCTAGTATACTGCTAAGAGAGAGTAGATACAAGACATCAACAAAAATTTGACAAACCTTCCATGGAGCAAGCAAATCCCACCCTGGGCGAAAGCCTGTGGCGCATACTACTGCTTCTGAATCATCACCAATGGCTTGAGCTAGCTTGTCAGAACCCTCAGTGACATCAGCTTTCACCTGCACATGAACCCAATCATATACAAGCCAAATTTCATTTCCAATAACTCATATACACATATATGTATATGTAAGTACAAAGTATGCATGTATGTGTCATTTCTGAAGTGATTGTGTGAAGATATTGGAAAAGCTTACAATTTGGAGAGATGGGTTGGCAGAGGAAAGGGTTGTCTTTGCCTTGTCCAAGTCTCTAACCCCAGCCTTAACAGCAAAACCCTTTGCCAGTAACTGCTCAACGATTCTTTTTCCGGTGCTACCAGTGGCTCCAGCAACAAATATCTTCTTCTTCACACCCAATTCCTCTCCAGATTTCTCTGCTACTTGCTCAGGGACCTCACTTCCTTCCATCTAACATCAAATCATTATAATAATAAATAAAGGGTATGTTACAACAACACACAAACATGCACGTGATGCTGGAAAAACCAAAAATTTATAATAATCCAACAATTAGGATAAGATGCTATGTAGTGCGTTACCTTTGCGAAACTGAGGGGGTAAAAGGAAGAGGAAGCAGTGAAGGGTTTGGTAAGAATGCGTTGGTGAGTGAAAGTGGGAGTTCTTACGACCGTAAGAGGAGCAGCCATTGACAATGACAATGACAATGACAATGTGAAACGGAGATTTCTTCTAATTTCTAGGCTCACCAAACAAGACGCTATAAGAGTGCCACGTACACCAACCACACAATACGTTTGCTTCTACCTGCGTCATTCTTATTTTGTATATTACGAATCTGTGTATTGCTTCCAACCGAGTTAGCCTGAAATTTTAATTTTTCTCCTCTAAAAAATTGCATTAACGGAATTTTAATTTTAATTTGCATTGCACATTAAAAAAAATGACATGTCCTGTTATATTATGTTCCTGGGATGGCAAGTGATAACTTACTCTAACGTTAAGTTATCTTAACTTATTCTATTTAATAATAATTTGTAAATGGTAAATTTTATTGATTTAATTTTTTTATAGATAAATAAGATTCACAAAATTTTATAAATTTAAAAGTCATTTAATATTTTATCAAATTATTTATTTTAACTTATAATATATTTTTAAGATATATAAAATATGGACTATAAAATTACAAAGTTGTAAATATTTACTTTTTCTAAATTTTAACATGTATGATTATAAAAATATCATTATATAATTTAAAAATTAAATTAATAAATTTTAATGTTTATAAATAATTATTAAATGAAATAAGTTAACAAGACTTGCTATTAAAATAAACGAATTTCTTTCCTATAATCATTTATACGGTATCACAGTATTAAAGTTTTAAAAATATTATAATATACAAAATTTAATAATAATAACAACAGCTACTTTATAGAAAATTATTAAACTTGCATTTTGTTTGCATAAATTTTATATAAAGTTTTAAAATATGAAAATTTGTATCATTTTTAGAATTTATACATATTTCTTTACGTATATGAACAAAAAGAAAAATTGCACAAATAAAACGTATATTAATTTAAAGTATTATTTACAGATAAGGTAAAAAAAATCCTCATTTTTTCTCATCAACCAAATCCTCCTTTGAACACGACGCTTAAATTTAAAAGTTTGAACAAAAAACTATCTAGTTAATGAAAACAATAGAACAATGCAATTAGCAAAATTTAATATAGTTTTTAAATAAAGTTTATGAAAAATAATTACTATTATCATGTAAATGAAGTATATTCTGTGAATAAACCATCAAGTCAATTTTTAAAATTGCATCTGTTAAATATTTTTAAGTATTAAACCTTTATTAATTTTTAATTGTTTTAAAAATGTTATTTTTTCATTTTAACCGTTATTTTATATAAAGATTAAAATAAATACCATTTTATGAATTGAAGTAACCAACAAAGAATTTTTAAACTTTAAATAGTAAACTACTCAATTCATATAATTTTAAGAACTATTACAAGAGTTTTACTCTATTTTTATCATAATTTAACTATAACTTTAAAGTTTTTTTAATTAAAATTAAGATTTTAACTTTTTTTCAAATTCCAACCTAAAAGAGGTACTCAACTGATTTAACAGGTAAACCCTAATCTCTCAATCACCTGTGCACCCTTCTTCTTCTTACATTTTTTGGTATTTCACCGAGTCTATTTGGAATTTTCGATTTTCATCTTAGTGTTGTCTTTCAAATCGCGGCAATTTTGAAGTTCATACAGCACAGGACACCGGTAACGATTGATTCCATTTTGAATTTGCTACAAATTTGAAATTTTGTGCATAAGCAACATAAATTGTGAGGCATTATGGGAAGCGAAGATGCAAGAGATCCACTGAAAGGGGTGGATTGGAAAGCCGTTGGTGGCGAGATGCAGCAAAATCCGAGTGTTCAACCAGCTCTGAAGAAACGATTTCCGAAGAGAGTTAGGCAAATTCCTGATTACTATTTCCTTCCCCGATGGCCACTACCCTCTGCGATTTTCTTCTGCACTGCGTGTGTTACTGCTGGAATTGGTGCTGGAATGCTTGTGGAATCATGGATTGATAAGAAAGTTAAAGGTATTTTCTTCTAATTAGGGTAAATAGCGTTTAATAAATTTTTTATCGCATTATAACTTATGTCATATATCATTTTTTGTTTTTTTCTATGCTTGAACCCTTTGTGGCATTAAACATATTCTGCACTTAACATTTTATTAACATTACTGTCAGGTCGTCTTACCCTTAACATATGTTGAGTTGTAGTTGCTTTGTCTCTGAATCAATTTCACTCTTGTTTTACTCTGTATTAACTATTGCGTAATAAAGAACTGGTTCAAGTCATAAGTTTGAAAGAGAAGTATCATCTTCCCCAGAAAAAAGAATGCCTTCTTTCCCATGTATTTTTCATCGCGTTTAATATATTTTTTATCGCATTATAACTTATGTCATATATTTAATCATGAATGTGAAATTATGTTAAGTAAATTAGAAAAGAAAGTTATTTTGATTAGTTTCACTGATAATTTATTAAAATAAGTTTATAATTTTTTTCATAAATTCAAATAAACTTTGGATATGTTCTTTTTAAATGTTTTTTATTGACTAAAATTTATTGAAAATTAACACAGAATGAAAATAGAATTATTAAATTATGAATGAAAAAAAGTACGACTCGTCATTTTTTAATTCAATAAAATTTAACCCATGTCTAAGAGTGTGTTAGAAATAGAATATTGTTAGCATTTCTCATTGGATAATAGTATTTGGAAAACAAATGATTGTTTCTCCTAAAATAAACATTTCCAAACGTGTAATTAGAAAGAAATAGGGTTGGTCATGTTGTTAGTTCTAAAAGGTGAAAATTATCACATAGAACCCTGAAATATTGATTTTGCCCATCAAATTAGTTCGTGACACCCATATTGAAAGAACTAAGTGCATATATGGTTTTTCAATAGAATAGAGTTTAACGGACGTTTGACAGAATGGGTAGCCAAATACAACCTTGGACGGTAATTTCATCTTAGAAAGAAGGAATCTGGCAATATATCTTTAAGTTTAATTTATATTTTGTAGGAATTAACTAACTGTTTACTCTTTCATCGCCAAACATGACTTTCTGGTTTTTTCTGTATCAACTTCATAATGAAATGCTACTATTGTGGGAAGTGCAAACTATCTCTTGAATTTTTCATCCCATTATTTTTCTTTAAAAATAAAAATGTACAAACAAATGGATTAGCTCCTAAAAATCTCTGTACAACTAGAGATGGCTTGGCTCTGTGGGTAGACCCCTACTTTTCAGACTTAATAGTTTCATGTTACCATTTACCAAGTTGTACAATTGATGCTCTATCAATGCTCATAATTATGTATTTTGTGATGTTAACGCATTTTCTGCAAGCTTGTTTTGGGTTTATGACAATCTTGTAAATGAAGTTTTAGTTGTCTGAAAACTAGTGACTTTAACTCTTGCTTTTTTAAATTTCAAGTTATTGATTATTACCATTGTCTTTTATTTTGGTATTGCAGAAGATGGAGGTGTTATATGGGAGTTTGACAAATAAAACTTTTGATGATGATAGAATCAATGTCCACATGCATGGCGGCCTCTCCAGCATTTCCCCTCCAAACATAAATGGCAATCCTCAACCTTATCCAGACTTAATAGTTTCAAGGATTAACTTTCGTGTTCTTGCTTCTACTCTGTTCATTGAATAGTGGTTCACAGTTGGCAGGCAGATGACTTGTTAAATTTGGGAAACTGATATTTTTTGAACATAAAACACCCCAGCAGCAACTAGTTGAGCATAGATTTTTAATTCCAATTTAAACCTGCTCACGTATTCTATGAGTCTAATTCTATGTTCGGATTATGATCAATAAAGAGGTTAGAAATTGAGGTCTCACCAACTACATTTATGAGTGGTACTTTATTAAAAAGATACTTGTCCTCTATGCTCATTTAGATAGGAATATACGAGCAAGAAAAATTATACTTTTCCTCCCTTTTCATAACCCGAGCACTCTTACGAGGTGGTGAGCTGTTGTGGTTTCAGAAGCATAAATATAGTTGATAGTAATTCATTTTCATTCTATGGTGAAAGTAAACTCAAATCAGTTCAGTTTTTCTTTCTCCTTGATTGAGAACCTCGAGCAAAATAAGTAGTATGGATTAAAATGGTTGAGTTATTATGTTATACTAATATCCTTTCTTTGTAGTTTAAACCTTTATTTTAATTTGAGATAATTAAAAATAGGCTTTTCAGTATCAGAAATATTTAAAATGTGACATTAGTTTTTTACTTTCATATTCGTATATTTTGGCTCCGAAATTTTTGAGAGTTTTTCTCTGATCAGACTAATATTTAGTCGTGGACTATAGGAATTTAAAGTTAACACTTTCTACTTTATTTTCACCCGTTTTCTTTTTCTTTTTTTTTTCTTTTTTAAGATCATGAAATTGCACCTGGTTTTACTGCCTCTAATCTTATTTATAAAAAGTTATCAAATATTTTATATCTTAAATATTAAAAGTATCAAATATATTAATTATTAAAAAAATTTATCTTTGTTTTTTGTAAAAATTATAATACCTTTCATTTATAAATAATTTAATATATATATATATATATATAGGACAGATGTATTTATATTAATATAAGTTTAAAAATTATTAGACTATGTTACTATGACCGATAAATATAAGTCAAATGATAGTCTCAAGTCAAAGTACTTAGGATCATTCTTTTATTTATATGTATATATAAAACACTAATTAAGCATTCCACACTAAAAATATTTAAAGATAATATCAGTTCCACGACAAAATGGTTATCAGTATTGGTATTCAATGCAGTTTAGAATCCAGATGGACTTAAATTTTCCTGACATGCCTTATCCCAATTGATAACTCCAACAGATAAAAAAGGTGGCAAAAAAAAAAAGCGCAGCAAATGGGAGCCTAAAATTCATTTCTGTAACATACCCCAAAACAAGAGTTCATTTCTAAATCCTTGTTTACACATAAATACATTGTTAGTTAGCAGCACTGAAATACATAGATGTACGGGTGGAATCAAATTATGGACGCGTATGGCAATGAAATCGCATAGGCTATCTCTTTGTTGAAGTGTTGGCAAATGACTCCCAGATAGCAAGTAAATAAATGAACATTGAAAGTTGTCAATCCTCCTCCCTCCGGTGTGGACTGCACACTACCCAGCGGCAAATTCTGCTCCCTGAATTATCCTTAGTTTGTTAAGATGAAAATTAAGTTCTACAATTGCAAATCTTGGAATCTTGCACATCTAATTAGATTACGTGTTTTCATCATTCCCTATAATTTTTTTTTATTTGGTGGCCGCGAGAATTAGATGATTAGAGATGTAACTGAGTATGACTAACAGGTGAATTATAAAGACAGTCACCTCATCCGTGAAAAATAACCAATTTACAAAATCGGATACCTGTCTAAATCTTTGTCAAGAGATTGTGCAACGATCTACATATTATGATATCATATGCACCATTCCATCAACTATCATCACTCTATTGTCATTTTGCAGCCTCTGAAATTTCAGAAAAGACAAAAGACACTATTATGAGAGTTCATGCTTAGGAAGGTGGGACCAGAACTTCATACGAAGAACGTACCTCTAATAGTAGTAGTATATCTGCCGGGCTGTAACGCGAATCTGCTCCTCTGTTGATAACATCCTCCACGTCTGCAATAGATATGAGATCCAAGCGGTTGGCACGCATATGCTGACCAAATAGAGAATTAAATGCTTCTATTCTGCATGTTGATGGAAGATATTTTTACGTCAGAAACAGTTGAGCAGATATTGGAATATATGAAAACAAATTGTGAAAAAAGCAGGAATTGACAGTTGACAGACCTTTCAGGAGTGAGACTGACAGTAGTTTGGGCTCCTGAGGCATCGTCTACTTCCATGGCATCCGATGTTGACCTAGCCAAAAAAAAAAGACGAGGAAGTGTTGATAGTCCATTATGGCCAAGTAATGTTTTCTCAAGAAATGTACCAATACCATCAATATTTACATGGAATCATAGAACTATTCGTGAAAGGATGCTTGGTTTCTGGTATAGAATATGGAAATAAATGAATTATCTTGTAAGCTAATTATAGTCATTAAAACGAAAAGATGGTTGCAATGGTTATATTTTTGTTTTCCAACGAGTATTGACTATTGCTCACCCTCTTTGCTTTTTAGGACCACGATCAGGGCCATCATTTTCGTTGTGGTCAGCCATACGCTTTTTCTCCGATTCTCTCTCCCTCTCTTGCTCACGCTCCTCCATTTCTGTCAGTTCTTTGTGATATATTGCGAAATTAAGAACCTTCAAAGCAGCTTCTACATCAGACTTTGAAACCTGACAAAATAGGTGCAGGCTCAATCAGGAAGTGTACTCAAACCAATCAACACTGAAAACACACAAAACACTGAGGTAGCACAAATTGCAACTTAAAGGTAGAATGGCAAGCTTAACAAGAAAGATTACTTTAGGGAAAATAATTACTTTCGAAATAATGAGTTTTACATTTCCAAACGTTTAGTTAAAAAATATATTACTTGACGGAGATACCGACAATATTTTTGGTCGAAAGTAACAATACATTACTCCTACCATCTCCCAGCCAAACAATTAAACAAGTGGAAAAACTGCTTTTGGGATTAAACGTAATTTTGAGAGCCATAATTAGATTTGGTCCTTTGGAAGAGCTATCCAAGCCTAACTAAAAAGAAACACCGAGGGGTTAATTTGACATGGGCTTGCTATCAAATTGAACACGTATCCCACGGTATTACAAGTATCGGAAAAGAAGCACTATAGTGTAGACACCAAGTCTAGTACCTTTCTGCTCAACTTCAATTTGGCATGAGCTGTTGAGAGACGTATTATGGTTTCTAATGTTCTGGCAGTTATAGGAAGAGTTCCTCCAGTCTGCATAAAGCCCGCAAAATATTAATAAAAATCTATTTTGTAAAATGGCTCATATGCTTTGAGCCAATTCCAATTCCTAATGCTAACCTTTGCATTTGAACTTGCATTTCTGAGCTCAGCATATGCTGTGGCAATGTGGTCAGATGCCTGTGGACAATCAATTGATGTTAAAATTAAGCCACATGTCGAGATAATAATGAATTGGAACAGAAGCATAACAACCATTGAAAATAATCAGACTTCACAATCAGAATTCATCATAAATCAAGAAAAATAGAATTGCTAATAATAACAAGGCACATCACCTCATCAGTCAGGTCAGGTTGAATCCTATGCTTAGCATAATGGATATATTTCTTAAGAAACTTAATTGTAAGGGTATCACGTTTGCGACCTCTTTCAGTTTTCTTCCCATGTAGCATTCTGTTATATTTGACAAAGACAGATGACTCTGTATCAGCTTCATCTTCTCTTCCATATCTTGAGCTCCCATCAAGGGCAGCCTCACCTACATTGGTAAGTTAATTTGAATAAAAAATCTCTCCAGTATAAGCATGTTTCTAGCATTTGAAAACTGCTTATCTACCTCCATCAATGGCAGAACGAAATCGATGCATACGCAGGACATGTTCTGATATTCGACGATCAATATCAGGATCCATTTGATCCAACACAATAAACAGTAGATCAAATCGAGATAGCAAGGAGTCTGGGAGTCCAATATTTTTGGTTGGAGTCAATGAACGGTCATACTGTGGAACCGCACAATAAAAGCCGCGAAGTCATTTTAAAATGAAACTAACGGTTCAGTGGAATTAGTAACTTTGGTAATTTAAACTGCAGCAAATTACTCACATAATTCCACTTACAGTTCCATATATGGGATTTGCAGCAGCCACCACACTGCATCTGGCATTAAGTGACGCATGGATACCGGCTTTGGCAATTGTCACAGTCTGCTGTTCCATAACTTCATGTATAGCAACACGATCTTGATCATTCATCTTGTCAAATTCATCAATGCAGACAACACCTCTGTCAGCAAGAACCATTGCCCCAGCTTCAAGCCTTCTTTCCCCTGGCAGAAATAAATTACAATGTTGCCTTAGATGACAAATGTAATAATAGAATTATGTATAGCCAATGAAGAATATTTTACCTGTTTCTTGATCTGAAGTTACTGCGGCTGTCAAACCAACCCCAGAAGAACCCCGGCCTGTTGTTGATATGGCCAAGGGAGCAATATTCATAATTGCTCTTAAGAGTTGAGACTTGGCAACAGAGGGATCACCAACCATCATCATGTTAATGTCACTAAAGATGCAAGACAGACCAGCATTACAATCTTTATTTGTAAAAAATACCAAGAGAAATAAATGTAAAGCAAGAATGAGTTGAACTCGGACTTCAATAATACCAGTAACAGAAAAAGGATATAAAGAGAAAACACTAACCCTCGCAAGTGAGTGCCATTCTTTAAGTTCTTCTCCACTCCACTAAGCATCAACAAAATCACTGCTTTCTTTATCCAAGAATGCCCGTATATAGAAGGTGCAAGTGAGTTACCAAGCAGGTCAAATGTATCATCTCTTTCAGCTATCTTTTTAATGTTTTTGAGGTCTTCAGGACTGTAGATTGGTGCATTAGCCTCTTTGTTGAGAAGAGAAACATTGTTGGCTATGAGCACAGTCCTGCATGCACACCAGTCAATCAAGTTTCTGTTCAAGAAAAAAAGGAATGCAAAGGAATTATATCAGTATATTTTCTGGAGCTACCTGAATACTCCATTCACACTGCCTTTGCTTTTCCCAGGAAGAGCCTTATATACCCCCACAATGGCTACACGATCTCCTGGCTTGCAAGAATCAACAAGGTCATCTTCTACAACGGCATCCACTGTTCTCGGGAGTTGACCAGGAGCAGAATTCTCTGGAACTTCTTGAATGGACAAGGTTTGATGATCTTTATATTTGCACAATCCATATTCGGTCACAAGTAAGTTGCCAGTTTCATCCTACAAGAAAGACCGAATCTGAAAATTTCATCGGGTAATTATAAATGATCTTTAGAGATCAAGAGCTTGAGATTACCCTCGTGGGATAAACAGATCCTGTCGGCAAACCCAAATTAGATGTAATATCCCGATATTCACGAGTAGTGAAGTTTCCCGTGGTGGGACAGAAGTGAACACTTTTAACAACCTTCGGCCTTACAAGAGAACCTATAAATGAAAATAACAGATTAGATTCCCGCATGCTTGAACAGTGTACTCGTTCTCAATTTTAAGTTTATTCTTAATGAAACAGAAAGGAAGGAATCAATTAGGAGAAAGAACAACCAAAAGATAAAACCAAACCGCTGCTTGGAAAAGAGAAAGAGTACATATTTCTACCAGTGAATGATCTTCACATTGCCCATTATCACAAATCATAACGCATGACATGCCACTCAAGGACACACTAAGAGTAAAACTTAGCATAAATGATATTAACTTGTAATTAAAATAAAAGCTTTGTATGTCAAACAAAATTACATAGTACACTTTTCAATGCAAAAAATGAAATAAGTCCCAAGTTATACCAAGCAATGGCCATGACAAAACCTAAAGCTTTAAACCTAAAACGAAAACAACCTACATTGTCCCGTAATTTATATAGTAAATAAATTCACCCCCCAAAACAAAATACCATCCCCAAATCCTCTTATTGACTCTGTAAAACTTATCAGCGAGCAATTGCATAAAGGATTTTAAAAAAAAAGGAGACAATAAGTTTGATTTTATTTACAAGTTCCAGAGCCACTTAGGAATCAAAATTCACAATCATTTTATCATCATCATCTCGTGAAAAACTAGTAGCATTCAATCATTAAACTATAGACAACAAATAAACAAGCGGCCAAAAATAAAGAAGGAAAGGGGGTTATACATTTGGTGACAATGCCCTCAACACAGACCATCGAACCTATGAATTCAGACAGAAGCTCCCTAGGCGTGACTCTGCGAGAAACAAAAGGACCTTCAAATCCCACGAGCACTTGTTCCCCTTCCTTCAAATACTTAGGATCAATAGCACGCGCGGCATCGGTCACCGCATCGCAGAACGACTGCATGTACTCACTTGGATTCCTAAGAATCCTGAAAACCACACACAACATAAATAAATAAATAAATTTAAACACCAACCATACACTAACTCCCTACACAGAATCGAATTCTACCCTACCACAAAAATGAAACTATAAAAGAAAAGGACGTATCTAGAATTAAAGTAATAATTGATGTGAAGAAGTTTCAACCTGTTACCCAAGTCGCGGAAATTGTGGAGATCGGAGATGTTGACGACGAGGCGGTGGCGCTTGTGGTTGATGAGGGCTTTGATGTCGTCCATGTATATCCCCTTTCCCACCTGAAAATTCAACACAAAATCGTTGCAAATGAAAAACGGTAAAAGTAACAAAAAGGAAAAGAGAGAATGTATAGAACATACATCTTGATCCAAGAAATCTACGAATTCTCGCTTGTGAGCTGCCCTGACTTCTTCGCTCACGTCCATTTTCAGAGAGAGTGAGAGTGAGAGAATGGCGAGAGAAGAAGAACTGAATGAAACGTTGGTGGTTCCTCTTTTGTTTCTTCAGCGCTAGGGCTTTGTTTTGGCGGGAAAAATAAGCCTCTTGCTCTTTGTGGCGGGAAAATGGTTGGTCCGGTTCACGTATTTTGGGCCTTTCCAGCCTCCAAGCCCAAACCCAACCTTTTTTAAAATCAAATATAATAAAACTGTGTTAGCCCTTAAAAAAAAAGAAAAAAGAAAGAAAGATGAAGAAGAAGAAGGCACTATCAAAGTAAGTAGCCCTTTTCAATATAATTTTTTGAGTGTATTGATTTCGCTGCAGGCGATTTAGCTTTTTTTCATTTATATGCTTCAGCATCACTTCATCTTTGTTTTCTACGGAACAAAATATGTTTAAGGAGTGAATATTCACAGTGATATTTGATCATCAGCAACAAGCCAACAATTTGAGATAAAAATTTATCTATCACTTCACTCAGATAATCTTGTTAGTGTTTATTGTGACCGCCAGATAAAGTGTCGCAAATTAAGAGTTAATTATGCTCTCTTTCAAACATGCTTATGTTTTCACATTTAGTGTAATTGATAATTTTATTAAGCAAATAACGAACATAAAGGTGAATAAACTCTACAAGCTATTATAACCATATTTTTATAAGTTTAAAAAATAATTGATAAATTAGTACAATATTTAAAGATCATTTAGTGGACATGATATAAGATAAGATAATGTTCCATGTCTTATCTGAATATTAATGTATATTTAACTAATAAGATATGATATATTTATCGTATCTATATCTCTTATGTAACATTTTTTTAAGAAAGAATTGAGTTAAGAATAAATAAAATAAAATAATATTTTTTAATCTAATATCTTAATGTGCACTAGACATATGATAAACTAAAAAATTATGTGTTTTTATTTTAAAAAACTATTTATTAAAATATTAATGTTTTAGAACAATTTCCTATTTAGAATAATTTTCGTCACGTTATCACAAGTCTAGACACTTACACGGGCTTCGACTTTTTTTCAAAAGAAAAAGCAGGAGATCCTGATAGGTAAAACATAAATTTAAACAAGGTTATTATACTTTTATTATATTTAATGTTTATTCAACTTTCATGTCTTGTTATTTTTCTGTCCTCAGACGACCCTTATAAATAAATAAAAATCTAAAAGTGTATTTTTTTTTTTCAATGCTATAACACAGCTTGCATTAAATCCAACATTATATGCTTACCAATTTTAAGCAGAAAACTGCGGATTGTTAGCAGCTGTAAGAGTGGTGTAAATAAATTGATGTAGAAGAATCGATTTGCTCTTTATATAGTTGTCGTTGACAGCAGTTATGTGGCGAATTCGACAAGGGGGAAAAAAAACTAACAGGGATGCTTAACACAAAGGTATGATAATATGCGTTACTGCTTTTAAGAAATTACAAATTTATGTAGAAACTCATGAAATGAAAGTGCTCTTAAATTATAGCGTATCCGCCAATGACTATTTCAAATAAAAACCTGATGCTACAAAGATTCATAGGAATCAGCAAGTATCACAAGTACATGCCTGACAATAAATAAATATCTTCAGTTAACAAAAAGGAATGCTCAAGAATAGAAGCTCTTTTGGCATTCTATCCGCTGTATACCTCCAAACTAAATAAATCTTCGAGCTATGTTCAAAAAGTTCTACAACAAAACAGCCCTTAAAGCTAATTGTCAAGAGTCACAATTAGCAGAAAACGAACAACTACAGGCCTACAGCATTTTTATACGATGGACTCAAATAGAAAAAATAGCCTCAATGATGTAGAGAGAACAAAATTTCAATTAATTTAAGCCCGTGTTCTAAGTAAAGTGCAGACAAGCTGGGCAATCAGGGCCTGAAAGCAGAAAATGCCACCACCGAGTTGTGTCCACCAAATCCAAATGAATTTGAAATGGCTGAAATTATTATAAAAAAAAATCATTAGTTGTCCAAATTATGGCGTGTCATGTGATAATGAAAGAAAAACTTGGTTATTGAATTATTTAGAATCTTACCAACATTGACTTCATGCTGCTGCTTGACATTTGCCACTGTATCAAAATCAACTGCAGGTTCTGGATTCTGCACCCAAGACCAAGTACATATTGTAACTACATCACACCATTTAAATTAGAAAAACTGCAGAGAGAAAATCAAACTAAAAATTTCCGCATGGTTCTCAAAGGCAAAATAAGCCAATTAAAGGACATGGAATTTTTCCAACTATTTGTGCAGGTAATCATTATAATTAAAACCACAGCCACTTCAGTTCTCTCCAGTCACTCAGCAACAACAAACAATATTACTTGACTTCTTAATAATTCAATGACATTCAATACTAATATGATCTTCAGTGTGGTCTGGCACAAACAACTAATGGACCTCAAACTAAACATCTGAGAATTACAACTCTAATTTGTGAAAGGATTCTCACATCCTTGTAATGAGTTATATGCGAATTCCTAGGTACAATCTCCAATAATTTGAGCATAACAAAGCTCATGCAAGCAGTCAAAATAATTCTAGCACTAAAACATATTAGCAAAACATACAAATTGATTGATAGTTGGATGCAGCCACCCTGTTGTTATGGCTTTCACCGTAGCAATGGCTTCCAAACCCCCAGCTGCACCAAGGCAGTGACCTATCATAGACTGATACAAAACAAAGAACAAGTCCATCAATTCAAGGCCAATTAATCAAATATAACCTTCTATAATCTGTAAGACAGAAAGCTTTTCACCAGCATAGTGAGATAATACCTTAGTGGCATTAATTTTGATGCCAGAAGTGTCCTTGAAAACCTTTTTAATAGCATTAATCTCTGCCAAGTCACCAGCAAGAGTGGAAGTTGCATGTGCATTTATGTAGTTGACCTGAAAACAAGCAAATAATGAGCCTTCACTTTGCTAATTTACAGTATGCATAAATCAGAGACAAAATAAAAAATAAAAAAAATTAATCAAACATTAAAACTAATTTCTGGAACTGACAAAAAAAACCAGCACCAATGGCATTACAAATTGCCTCTTTTTAGTTCCACTAGAAGCCCCACTCACTTGGAATTATGGAAGTTTCAATTTATCTTCTAATTGCATTGTTTTTCTTACTCAGTCTAACTTATTGGCATCACTCTAAATAGAAGAAACTGAAGCAGATCACAGGAACAACAAAAAAAACAGTACACATGCTGTATATTAACACTTTGCTATGTAGCAGCTCTCCCGCCATGAATTGTGGCTGCAAAAAGGGAAAATTGTGGTCATCGTGGCCGTTATATCAAACAGGGGCAAAAGAGCAAGTTTGCCCTCTCTTTCTGAAAGTTGGAATACTTTTTAAGAGAAGAGAGGCAATCTTAGGATTTTGCCCCCTTTTTACGTTGCGATACTTTGTGCTTCTCTTCTGTCTTCTCAAGTCAAGATCAAACCCTACCTCCATCTCTAGTTCTTTTGCTCCATCATCCATATCCGACCTCACTTTTTGGTGAGTCACCATTTCTAGCCAAGTTTCGGTCTTTTTTTCATCTTCAGCCAAACCCAACTTATTCTGACATGACCAAAGACATTTTTTGACAATATTGAAACATTTTTCGGTGAGACAATCTGCATTAGAGTTTTTTTCCGATGACTAAAACCAATAACCATTATTTTCTCTATTTTCCTTCTCTGTTTTGATTGTCTTAAGAATAAGAGTGCTATCCATTTTCCCACTACAGCGTTTTTGGGGTCAATTGCTTTGCGCCACTATTTAGGATTGATTATTATGGTAAACACTATTAACCATCCAGCACCCATTACTGGTTAACCAAGAAGATGCATACTATCTTATATAATTGAATAATTACTGTAATCTAACTTCTTCGTCATCATTTATCCAAACCTCAATGTTAGAAAAGAAAATCTAGGGAGAGCTATTCCAAATTATACTAGCTAGCAGGAGCTTTGTAAGAAAATGTTTGCCATTTTCTATACATCCCATGTCATCCCCTACCACATCACATACTAAAAAGCACTCTCTCTGGTTCTTTTCATAACACGCAACTAACTAAATTACACAAATCAATAAAAGTAGTTAAAGTTAGTTAATTTCCTTGATATTTTAAAAAATATTATAACATGCCAACTTTGCCTTCATTTAATACCATTTAACCTAACTTCATTATCAACATTTACCCTGCTTAGTTTTAATTAGGGTTCCCACCAACTCCAGTTATTAAGGGTACATGGAAAAAACATAATATATGCTTCACAGAAATTATAAAGCACCTAATAAAAATGACCACTAAAAGCTTTTAGACAGTTTCTCATAAAAAGACCAGAGAAAATATTTGATAACACACATGAAGTATGTGTGCAAGATAACAGAAAAGTAAGGTCATCTGGAGAGACATCCTTGAGGAAAAAATCAGTTATTAGAACAGGGGAAAAGAAACCAAAAATATTTGTAACAGACAAAATTACCATCAAAAGTGGAAGCAACATAGAAGGAATAAAATAGTACCTCCTCAGGTGACACACCAGCATCTTCAAGGCTGCTCTGAATGCAAGAAGACACACCAAGTCCATCAGATCTTGGATCAGTCATGTGATACGCGTCACAGTTAACAGCACCTCCCAAGTATTCAGCAATAATAGGTGCACCTCGCTTCATGGCATGTTCCAGGCTCTCCATTACCTGTCAAGTTATAGTACTCATTTTAAGATTCACTAAATTAGCTTAAAGAGAGCGAAAAAAGAGCATACGAGATAGCACTTTCTTCAAACATTTTACATGGGAGAATAGGGAATGAGTCAATTGAAAAAGTTAGTGTTATTTCCCAACCAGTTTACCATCGTTGCTAAGTTTGTCAAGGTCTTACAGTTAAACTGATTAAGAAGCATAGCCGGCAAATGCAATACAATCTGCAAGCTCAACTGATATAGCCAGATTAAAATCAAAGGAGAATAGTAGAGTTCCCTAAGGGCACTTATTAGTTATAAGGAATCAAAAGTGGAAACTTTTTATAGGAAAGTGTTAACACTTAACGATGCCAATGCACCTACACCGTGATTTCCAATATAAACTTTCTATTTATTAATTCCTTAATCAGTATCCTAAGGGAACTCATTAGCAAGACGCCAAAAAAACTACAGAATTTAGCAAAACTGCATCTCATTACAATCGCAGAAAGCCACTGACCACAGAACTATTAAATCCAAAAGAACAGCTAGGCGACAATAAACAATGCAATTAAAAACGATAAAAAAACGTAGTTCCCATTGAAAAGAGTAAGAACATCAATTCAAAAGCAGCCTTACCAAAACTCCAGCACCTTCACCCATGACAAAGCCATCACGGTCTTTGTCCCAAGGCCTAGAAGCAGTTTTGGGGTCATCATTTCTCTGAGAAAGAGCCCTGCAAGCAACAAAACCCCCCAACCCAATTGGAATAATGGCAGCTTCAGTCCCACCCGCTATCATCAAATCAGCCTCTCCCCTCCGTATATGGTTAGCAGCAGCATAAAAGCAATAATTCGAAGTAGCACAAGCAGTGGATATAGAATAATTGGGACCCATGAAACCAAGATCAATCCCAAGCAAAGCCGAACCCATATTAGTAATCGCATAAGGAATGAAAAAAGGTGTTATTTTTCGATACCCTTTTTCAATCAAAGCCTGAACCCCATCAGAAAACACCGTTAAACCACCCATCCCAGACCCAACGAGAACACCAGCGCGTTCCTTATCAATCTGCAAATAAATAAATAAAAACACAATCCGAAACCGTTAAACTCAATTTTCTCAGGCCAAATAGGGTTTCCATTGAACGAAGAATCCTCAGATCTATGAGAAACCTTTGAAAGCTTATCGGCGCCGAGATCGGCGTTTTCGAGGGCTTTCTTTCCGGCGACAATGCAGTATCGTAGACAATCGTCGAGTCTCCGGTCGTTCTTGCCGTCGATGTAACCCTCGGCGGAGAAGCCGCGGATCTGGCCGCCGAAGCGAGTGGGGAACTTGGAGGCGTCGAAGCGATCGATTGGGGTGATGCCGCTCTCGCCGGCTAGGAGTTTCCCGTAGTAACCATCGACGTCATTGCCGAAGACGGAGGCGAGGCCCATGCCGGTAATGACGACGCGCTTTTTGGGGTCCTTCTGGCGTTGGGGAGCGGAGAGCTTGGGAGCGACGGTGGCGGAGACGAAGAACACGCGCTTGGAGGAAACGCGTGTTCTCTTGGCGGCATTTTCGGATTTTCGAAGAGGATCCAAAGGGGAAACGCGAAGAGTGGGTGAGTGAAGTGCTTGCATGGTGGCGGAGTATGCGAAGCAGAGTGAACAAAAACGCCCCTGCACTGTGCTATGCTGTTGTTGTAAGTTCAGTAACAAGTGGTCTTATTTATTTTCAGCTAACGTTGGGTTTGTTTTTTTTTTTTTCTTCTAAAATACATTTTTTATGGTCAAGTACTAAGTAGTGTTTTGAGTTTTCTTTTAGAATTTAATAAAAGATATTTTAATTATATTTAATTTTTTAATTTTTTAAAATTAGTTAACTTTAACTTTAAAAATAAAAATAAACAGTTAATAATAATAAATATTATTAAAAATAAAAATATTTATTATTTTTATAACTTTAATATAATAATTGTGTATATTTTTATAAAAAAAAAAAATATTTGTGAATGTTTATTTTTGAGATTGACAAAATTTATTTTTTATTAATATCTTACAAAAATTAGTTAGTGTTTTTTATTTTTGTTTTTTGTGTGATTAATTAACATATTGGTAATAATAATGGAATGTGAGCATAGTTTTCTTCTCATGATGTGTGGTGCCTTACAGCGAGGCAGGCGATAACAACAACGCTACTCCTTCTTCTTCCCTGGTGAGGACATGGCCAAGGTTGTAACTTTTTGCTTGGCTAGAACTGTCTTGGCCAAATGCTCTGCTATTGCTTCTGCGTTTTTATGAAAATTTTAGTTTTTAAGTTTCAATCATTAACTAAGAACACTGGTATTGTTTACATTTCAATATTCATGTGAAAAATTTTACCATTTAGTTTCGATAAATTTGAAGATAAAAAAAATTAGTTTCCATTATAGATAAAGTTTGTGATTTATTTTGGATTAATTTGAAATTAATATTAAATTTTAACCTATCTAAGTTGATATTTTACAGCTTAAATTAAATTATTTTTTATTATTTTTAAAAAGGAATGTGACTTTAACTTTTTAATGAAGATCAAATTTTATTAATAAAAATATAAATAATTTTTCATTACATACATTTTTTTATTTAAGAGACAATAATTATTAAACATAAAGGCAAGTATATAATAATTATAAAAAACAATTAAAAAGTTAAATTTCCTCATAAAGTATAATTTAGTCTAAATTGTAAGTCCTAGCAACAACAAAAATTCTTAAAAAAATAAAAATATTTTAATAAAATATAATTTTAAATAATTTTTAGATAAAAAATGGTAAAAAAAATTCATATACAGTTAATATGTTTATATTTTGATTTATTTCAATTCAAATTTGAAATAAAATATATATATGAATCGTAAAAGAAATGCAATTTCTTTTATCGATTTTGAATACAACAAGTTCATATTTCAATTTTTATTTTTTGTATTACAATGAAGCCTAACGAAGTGATTATAAAAGAAAATTCTAACATGTTATATTTCTCGATGGTTCATAATAATTTCACGCTTGAAAAAGAGGATTAGTTTAATTGCCTATCTAATTAAAAAATATAAATGGGTTAATAAAAAATTATAATTATCTTGAAACAAGCATTCATTGAATTAAGGTAAAGAAAAGTAAAGTGTTCAAAGGCATTAATTGTTAAAATTAACTATTAAACCCTGTTAACATCAAATGTTTGATTTTAGAACTGTACTAATAACATGACATACGTAATATTTTGGTTCAACTTAAATTATTTAAATACATTTGTAATTTCTATGTTTATATAACTTTTTAAGTCATAGTTTTTTTATTAAAAATAATTTATTCTTATATTTTTTTTTGAATTTTTGTTTTTATTTCAATCTCCAATAATAATATTGTCTCATAAAAATTTATCATACGACAACATTTCAAATAATTGTATCATCAATCACAGTAATTATAAACAAAAAAAAAAGTAGTAAGCATATATATATAATTAATATTTAAGACAATTTGATCGAATCAATATACAGTATGTATCATACTCAAAGCAAATTATAAAAGCAATTCCTCTCATAGTTTCGAACTTTCAATGATTTTATTTTCAAAATTTAAACTCTAAAAATCACTTGCCATCTTTTTATTTGGACTTATCTAGTGATTACAGTAGACTAGACTAATAACAAAACATAGGTTGACTAATAATTTCAGTGATAGACTAATAATAATAATAATAGCAAAGATAATAACAAAGTGGTTGTAATAGTTAATAAGAACATTAATTATAGTAAAAATAATAATAATGACGATTGTTGATTGGTAACAACAATATAATTAACTAATAAATAATTGTATAGTCTTAAGTTTTAAAAGAATTCATTATAATTTTGAAGAATCATTTGGTTTTACAAAAATAATTTTTTAATTTTAATTATAAAACTACTATCGTTTTGTATTTTCTACATTAAAAGACTGTACAGTAAATAATAAAATCTTTATTTTGATTATTTATAATCATTCATCCTTCATATTTTCAAGTGACATTTCCTTTTTAAATGATATATTCGATTTCACTTATATTTTAATGACAATGAATATATGAGATTATTATTGGTAGGTAAAAAGAGAGGATTTAAATTCCTTTTTATGCTGTATATACCTTTTTCCTCGAACAGTTCACCCACTAGTCTAAATTATAATATTCACGAGCCCGTCTATTCAAAAACTCCTCTGTAATGTGAAAAAACCCCTCACTCTTAACATTTTCAACTCTGTAATTTTAATTATCTTACATGTTAAAGAGTTCAATAATGGGCTTAACTCAACATGTCACTTTAAAGTGTTATTACCTTTCTAAACTAGGCACTAAATCTTTGTTAAACCCTCGTTGATCCATTCTATTTTAATATATTTATATTTAATTATGTGTTTAAGCTATGTAAATATGATATTTTATTTTGGTCATTCATAATTTTTAGTTAATTTTGTTCTTTATGATTTTAAAGAAGTGGTCTCGTCATTATTTAATGATAAGCCATGTTAACAACTATTATAAGGTATTATGTGATGTATTATGTTAAAATATGTATTGAGTTATTAGTAAATAATGATAAAAGTAAAATTTTTCAAATTAAAAGAAAATTATATATATATATATATATATATATATATATATATATGTGTGTGTGTGTGTGTGTGTTATTTCTTTTTTAAGTGAAAACACTAGTATGAGAATGACAACCGTACAAATCAACTATTGGATTATATTTAAATGATTAAGATTAAAAAGAATGAACATGATTGTTTTAAGTGATCATGTAGTCATTAATAAATTTTTAATGTTACCTTTTTCTTCGCACCCCTGCAAGACTCAATCTTACTTGATTTAATTAACTCTTTGAAATTGATCATCGGTTCTGTATTTCATTTACATTTTGCCCTTCAATCATTTTGTACTAATAACAAAAGCACCTAAACCAAGTCTCTTGTTTTGTAATTATAATGAGTTATGATTAAGTCATCTTAAAAAAAAATTCTAAAAAAATGTAAAACAACTACTAATTAATTAGAGGGGTTTTTTTTTTCATATGGCAAAATCGATTTGCCTGTTCCATCATTTACTTAATTTGCATTCATTATTGAGAGATTAATGACTCACTTTATTTACACTTTTATTTGAATCTTTAGTGTATGTTTGCAAATATATTAAAAAGTAGGTAACTGTAAATTTAATATAAAGTTACAACTCAGTAAAATTAAAGTAAATTTGATTTTAAATAAAACTAAACATGTTATCTTTGAAGACTTTGCCTTTCAAGGCTTCGGAAAGCCACGACGAAGAAGAAGGCTGAGGCTGATGGGTTTATAATCTTCAGGAAGGACTGAAATTTTAATCTTTGATTATATTTTGTTTAGGGACTAAATAATCAGTTTTTAAATAAATAAAATGATTTTAATAAAATAATTAGTGACTACAAAATTAGTTGCTCCATGCCGTTTTCTTTTTTCATTTTAATATTAAATTATTATTTAGCAACTGGACTTTTGGTCTTTCATTTTAGGTTAATAACTGATATTTTGATCACTAATTTTACTGCGATTAAAAATGTTGTCTCTAAACAAAATAAAGAAACAATAATTAACGACTAAAAAAGCCAATCACGACATGTCAATTTAAAAATTTTATTTTATATGTTGTTTTATTATTTAGCAACTGAATTGTTGGTCTCTAATCTCAGTTTAGCTATTGAATTTTGGGTCACTAATTTTGTTAAAACAATTAGATACTATTATAGACTAAAGTGTTTTTTTTTTTTTTACCGAAATAGAAATTGATTTTATTTTAGCTAAAAAATATTTAAATTTGATCTCTAATTTGTTAATTTTTTATAGTAAAAATTGCTTATAATTACTCCAACTTCAAATAATAGAAGAAATTCAAACTAAAAACACTGTTAATTATAAAATAAAAGGAGTATGTAATATGTCTTAGAAATAACTTGTAAAAATATTTTAAAGAATCATGACATTTAATTATTTTCAAGCCCTGCAATTTTTTTTTGTGTTCTTTTAGAAGAAAATAAGTAAAAAATGAAGATTTATGTGATATAACAATTTATTTAAGAGATTTTATATGATAACATGAGAGTTTATAAATACTTTAAAATATTTTTGTTGAGCACTAAACATAACTGATGAGATTGAAGGAAAAAATAATATGAATTATTCTTAATTCTTCACGAGTGAACAAAATGTGGAATTGAGTAAACTTTGTTACCCTCTCGAAAAATGATTGATAAAGAAAACAACTTTATTATGTTATATTTTTTCAATTATTTGACAATAATGATATCTGTATATTTTTTTTTTGTTTTGTTTTTGTAGTTATATTATGAAAAATTACTCATATAAGTTATTTTCTTTTTAATTTCTATTGAGTTCATTTTATACATGGAATTATAATTGATATTCAGAATTATAATTTCAATTTCAATTCATTGAGAATTATAATTTTATGTTTTGCGTATTCAAATAAGTAAAATACAGAGTTAAAATTTTAAGTTAAAATAATATTTTATAGAATCATATAAGATCTAAATTTTAAAAAAATAATTTAATTTTGTATTAAAATTTTATTTAATAACTTTTTTAAAATAATATTTTAATTAAAAATACAAAATAATTATTAAAGATGATAACTTATTTTTTTTTAAATTATGACATAGTAAATTTATTTATTTGTTTAATTTATTATTAAAATTTAATATTATGTTATGAATTATCTTTCTCATAAATTAGATAAAAATATACAAATTTTCATAAATATAATTTAATTTTCAAAATTAAAAATATAAATTAAATATAAGTATTTTAGATAACTCATTTTAAGACCATGAATTAAAATAAATAGAAACATTATAATAGAGATTTTTTACGCTTACCTGATAAGTAAGACGTAATTGATTATAATAATTTTTATCAGTTCTATATATAATTTTTTTAAAAATATTATTTTTATTATATGTTTATCACTCTATTGCATATAACACTAGTTTTATTTTTTTATTTTTATTGTATTTCTAATAGTTTTTGAATTAATTTCTAATATTTACTCCAACATCTAACAATTCAATAAAAATATTAAATAATTTATTATACAATTAATATAAATAATATAATTTGTTGCAAATGAAAAAAGTGCATAATATCAATACAATATAATTTGCAATAAATGCAAAATAACAATACAACATAGTAACGTAAACATATTAAACACGTAACAAATATGAAAAAAAAAGAAAAAAACAAAGAAGAAGACGTAAAAGACGAATACGAAACAAGTGTAAAAAAAAATAAGAAGAATAAAAAATAACAAAAGAATAGGAAGAATAAGAGAAATAGAGAAAAACAACTTTTATTTATAATCAATGTAAAATAAAGAAAAAAATAGAGAAAAATAAAAGAAGTAATATTAATAATCAAAGTATAAGTGGAGTTAAAAGAGAAAGATAATACAAAGAACATAATAAGAGGAAGAAAAATACATAAGTGAAAGAGATAACAAATGAAGAGAGAGAAGGAGAAAATACTTGAAAAATAACAAGAATCACACAGACAAGGAAGAAGTTAGAGTGAAAATGTAATTATGAATTATGATATTAGAATTCAAATTCCTAAGATATAGGTTATGAATTGAAGTGGGTTAAATTTAGTTGTTATAAAAAAATTTATGAAATTAGTCTACATAATTATAATCTTAATTTCAAATAGACATTCAAACATTATAATTAAAATTTTGAAACCTAATTTCAATTTTGATGAATTATTATTTCTGACTTTCTCTCACTGCCTTTGATCCGTCTTGTTAATTTTTTTGTTTATCAACTTTGATGTTTGTTCATTTCTAACTCACAAGATTAAATTAAAAAAAACTTTTAATACCCATTAATAATATTTTTCAGAAAAGGTTTCAAAGTTTAAAGTTTGACCTAAATTGAGACTTTAAATTTAAAGTTAAAACTATTTAATAACTTTATATTTTTCAAATTTAAACGTCATTTTTAAATGGAAACTTATTGAATAATACGTTTCTAAGGTTATGTTCGGATATCTAATAGCATGGAGAATATAATATAATTATGATTTGATTCTTTAAATATATTATAATGAAATAAAATTTTACTTTTGTTTAATTACATTAACCCCTACTTGGATAAGAGTTTCCATGAAATGGAATATGTGTAAAAATTTAATTACATTTTATTTTGTGCTATCACTTTTCAGTAATCTAAATATAATTTTAGTCTTAGAATTCAAAATAATGAAAAAAAAAACTAAAATTAAACAAAACTCTGGTATTGCTTTAATATTTTTTTAGATTTTTTTTATTGAAATGACACTTTATAATTTAAAAAATTTTAAAACCTAATTATATTTTAAAGATAAATTAGTCCAAATCCTACTTAAGTGCTCCACATTTGTCTCTAAATGCCTCAACTTTATCTTTTATAAAGTCATCTTTTTGCTTTCACAAATCGTCTTCATTTTAGACGTCATTTCAAAAAAGTTTTTATTTCACAAATAAATCATTAAATAACATAATTCAAATTTCTTATTGTTTCTTCTCTTTTTACTTACACATAATGCTACTTAAATTAACATGTTAAGCTGATAAAATTTTCAATATGCTACAATTGGTATATTTACTATAATATTTAATTATTACAATTAATAACTTGTAAATTTTTTTATTACTAATTCAATGATGCCAATTATAATTATAAAATATTTGGTAGACTATAGCTTGAGCGAAAAACAAAAAAACTAATGAACATATTAAACTGATGTAATATAATAAAAAACAAACATTAAATAGGTATTAACATGGTTGTAATATTTATAAATAATAATTATTTATGGTTTATAAAAACTTTTAATCATCACTTAAAGTAGAGTTGATAAAATGAGTGGATGTATCTTGTTTAATAAAATGTAAGTTGTGAACTTTAAATTTTGAAATTAAAATTTACTTAATTAAATTTAATGCAAGTTAAGTCTAAAAAAATTAGACTCTCACTAAGTTTAAACATTATTCTTGAGTTCGATTTGAATTATATATTTTTTATTTAGCCTGATGTCTGCAATAAGCCGGTCTTAATAAACTAAGAGCATGTTTAATTTTAAAACAGTTTTTTATTTTTAAAAATAAAATATAATACAACTTTGTATTATATTTTATTTTAAAAATATAAACTTGTTTTTTTTAAATCAAATATGTAATAAATAACTCATTTTTATCAACTTCAATCTAAAAACACACACTAAAAAAAATTTAATTATAATATTTAATATTATTAAAATACTACTCTATTGATTTTTTAATAATTAAAAAAATTAATAATGTTTTTTATAAAATAGTTTATAGTTGCCATTAATAAAGGAAGTTAATAGAACTTTAAATTAGAATTAAAAAAAATAACAATAAAGTTATGTTTAATGATATAAATTAAAATAGAGTTATTGTATTATAATATTTTAAAAAAATATAAAAATTAATTTATTTTAACAAATTTTACTAATTTATATAAATTAATAAAAATGTCCTATAAAAAAAATAAAATTTACAACTTTTAACAAAAATATTTTTTATTGTGTATAAATATTTATTATATAAACTTAATCACTTCTTAAAAAAACTAATAATTAAGTAATCCCACACTGACGGAACATGGAAGCTAGTCCAGTATCCACCAAAATTGTGCAATGTCAAACTTCAAGGGCCCCACTCTCTCTTCACGCGTGCTCTAATCCAACGGTCGTAATCACACCCGCGATAAACGGAGGTGCATTTCCAAGAACCATGCTCATCCCATCCAACGGCTCACATCTCTCTCTCTCTCTCTCTCCTTCAAATCTTCAAACTAATGCTCCCAAACGCATCATTCATAGCTAAAATTCTGTGTCTTCATCACCGTCCTTCTCCCAGTCCTCTTCAATTTCCTTTCCCTCCTTCATAAAACTTAGGTATTTTCTTCACTCTAATCTTTTCCCCTAATTTCCATTTTAAAGTCTTCAATTTTGCGAGAACACTGTTTTTGTGCTTGTTTCGTGGTACTGCGGCTCCACTTTTAAGATCTAATCTTGAAGTGTCTTTCTCTTTTGAATAAAATATAATATGTATAAACATATGCTGAATTTTTCTTTACTGGTAGCTAGGGTTTTCTTTCTTAAATTGATTCGCTGATTTGGTGGGGTGTCAAGTTTTGATGCAAAGTTTGGAACTTTACTATGTAGTTGGCTGCGAAAACTCATTTTAGTTAATGACTGTCAAAGTTAAACGGTGGATTTTGTGCTTAAGATTCGATTTTGGATTTTTATGAGGATAATCTGAACTGTGATAATAACTTTCCTTTTTCGTTTCTTAACTTGTTTTCTTATTTTAATTTCTTGGAGCTGGATTAGGGTGAGTTGTTCTTCACTTCTCGTGTCTCTGTGATGGATGGTTGTTTTTGAGTATCAATTGATGCCTTACTTCTACATTTTCAGGGCAGATTTTCGGGTTTGTCTTTTCTGATAATCTGGAGTCAAGCTAAGTCAAGATGCCGTGGGTTTCCTTGTTTGTGAATCACAAGAGGAATTGTGTTCGCTTAATGGTGTTTTTTCGTGTGATTCTGTAATTTAATTACCTCGGGTGAAGAATTTTGTCCTGTCAAGGTGCTTCTATATTTTGTAGAAATATATTTGTAGAGATATTCATGTCATATATTTTGAATTCTAATGTAAATTTAACTGCAATGCATTCTGTGACATTTTAATGCCTATTGCTTGCTGTAGAAAGAAAAAAAGGGTGGAGTCAGTACAATTTTTTGATTGATGGATAGCATCTAATGGCTCCAATGACATCCAAAATAGCTGCTATAGTTTCATACTTTATGAACATTTTATGGAATCTTATGTCTTACGCTTTCTATTTTGTACACTTTTTTTACATTACCTCTGACGTTATATTGTTTCTTTCTGCTGTAGGCAAAGTCCCATTAGATTGTAAAGGAGCTCTTCTCATTAGTGATTTTTCCTCTTTCATTACCAAAGCTGTTGGGAGGATTGAGAATGTACTTTGTGATAACAATAAGGAGATACCAAGCTGTGAAGGAAGTTGGGCACATTAAAATGAGTGTTGGAGTCACTGCATATAATCAATTGATGCTAGTTTGCCAGGTAAATGTTCTTTTTCCCCTCTTCAGGATTGCCATGGAGAAGGATATGGGATTTGAACAATAGATGGCATTTTGTGTCCTTCCTCTGACTTTTGCCTGGAAGACACTAAAATTTGTGCAATTTCACGTCATAAGAATATTGCAAAATAGGATATGTTTTTTTTCAGTTTCTAAGAATATCAAAGGCTGAGTACTGTTGTCATGGCTGATAGCTTTACAAAGAACATGCATTGAAGGCTAATGAATAATGATGATGGTGACTTTTTGAAAAATACGTACTTTTTGAAGGGGGTGGAAGTTTTCTCCGACTGTATAAATTGTGTCTTGTAGATTTGTCAGTATTGAATACCATCACATTCACTAATTATCATTGTAAATGCAAAATCATTTTTTGTTTTTCCACTTTATTATTACTACTGTTTATACCACACCATTTTCTTTTGCAGGCTGAGTATTTTCGTCAGTTGCTTAAACCTGTTACGTAGTCTAGCATTGAGGGACGTTGGTTTAGGGAGAGATTGCCTTATTTTGTACTTCATTAGAAAGCTGCTGAAGAGATGATGTTTTAATTTGAAAAAGTTGCCACAACTTGTTAGGTGGAAATTGGAATCACCTTAGCACCTGCTGTTTAGTTTTTGCATTCCTTTAGGAACCTCCTTCCAGCTTTAGTACAGAATAATTGCCAGTTGCAAAGGCCGAATCATCATTGCTTGCTTGAAGGTCAGTCAGAGTGAACAGTTAATATAATGCAGACTCGTGAATATTTTCTCCCGGAAAAGATGGTACTTCCTTTGGCAGATGAAACCATTGATACTCATATGCATGCCCCACTTGCTTCTGCCTTTGATGCAGTTTTACCTCCTGGTGTGAGGCAGATAACACCCTTTGAAAGATTTAAATTGCAACCCTCTGAGGCTTGCCCTAAGAATTTCATTATCTTTGATCAAGCAGAGCAACGGAGCAGGATTATGTTCAATCCTGCAATGACCTACAAATTTAACAGTCCTGGCTTAAATTTTCATGCTGCTTGTTCTCAAGAATTCCAAAAGAATAGAGTTAGTCAAATGGAAAGAGAATTGTCAACTCCTTTTGAAGAAGATTCTAATGACATTGATGCATTGTTGAGCTTAGGAGTGGATGATCTAGAAGATTTCGATGAGGAAGAAGTCAGCACAGCAAGGACTCATGAAAATTATGAAAGTATATCTGATACTTGCTCCAGTTATTGCTCAAAATCAAGCAAGAGATTGTCATCATCTTCTGTACAGAAACCTTCTGGGACCAGGGTGTATTGTCATAATGAAGGGAAACACCAGGAGATGAAAAGGATGGTGAGGATATTGAGAAGGATTGTGCCTGGTGGAGGTAACCAAATGGATGCTGTTGCTGTTTTAGACGAAGCTGTTAAGTACCTCAAGTCTCTCAAAGTTGAGGTGGAACAATTCGGAGTTGGACCATGAAAATGTAAGTTGGACTTCATATGCTTCTGCAACAGTGACCATTTCCCCAACTATGTTTGTTACTCTATGAATGAGCACCCCTTCTAGCTTAGCTCACCTTCCTTGTTCCCTTCTATGAGAAGAGGCCTTGCTAAATAATAAATTATGACTGGCATTTATTTTACTTATTCAGGTTATGTAAGAAAATACAATCATAATTGTTGCACCGTAGGTTGTGTTTGATAGTGTTGCTGGTTTATTTCTTTTATCCCATTAACTCAAATTTTTATTATGCATGTTGATGTTATGTTATGAATGTACCATAAATTTATATGGCTGATAATTCCCCTGCTTCATACTTGTTCTCTGAATGCTTCTCGTAAGGTCACATTTGAAGTTTTGTGCGATGCTGTTGTGCTCCACTATTTTATTTTTGCATTTGATTTTATTTAGCGGGTCCACTCAATTTGAAGGATATTTCTTGCGATTGTTGACTTTATCCAGTGTTTCTGGTGGCCTTGAACACAATTCCATGCGAAAGGCATTTCTAGAAAGAGAGCAGATTTTTTGTTGACACTTTATGTAACATGGCTTGTCTAAATTTCTGTTGCCTTTGATTTTCCCTATATTTGTTGTGATCATCTATCTTTGAGTAAAAGTAAGTTTCAAGCAACACACATGATTATCATGCATGCATTGAATGTGCGTTTTCTTCCACTCGGCCCCAATTAATTTTGCAGTGTTAGTGGCGCACCACTGAACCCTTTTTCAGTGGGCCTTCAAACTTTTACTTTTATGCCGTTTTGTGCACTATGGTGATTCAAAACCCATCCAACAACCTAGCCGTTGGCGCTCTGAAATTCTGAACTTCATACAAGTACATTATATTTCAATTTGCTAACTATTATTCTGTAAGTAATGATTAAAAGTTTAATGAATATTTTTTATTAGAAGTTATAATAAAAATACACTGATAATATTAAATGTTACATTTCTAAATAAAATTTTTAATTTTAACCATCACTTTTGGAGCAATGTTTAACAAAATAGTTTATATTTTCATGATTTATTCCCCTTGATGCTTGAAATAATTATGGATTCTGAATCTGTTCCAACCTAAATCAAGTTTGAATAAAACGAACCATATTTGGTTATTGTTTGTTGATTCTAGCTTTACATGTAAATCATGGATTTGATTATGCATCCAATCGTAAGCTTAATATTATATACACTAACTTACAACTGGGAGTCAAGCAGAAAGAGTGAAGCATACTTTGTTTAGGAACTGTAAACACCGCGACATATTTCACAGGTTCGTACTTCGCCTAGCAGTCACTATATTTTCAAATGAACTGTCACGTCTACTTGTAACTTTTTTCTTTGTTTTTTTAACCAACACTTCTACTAACTAGATAGTCAAGTCAAACGATGACTTTTTCGTTGGGCCATAGTTATATTTAACCTCGGGTAGCATTATGTAGGTGTAGCGACCAATCTCAAAAGTGCTTGAGGTGATACAGCATATTGCAGGATGCTGCTATTCAGAATTTTTAATTTTCATAAATAGATAAAATACATATTATATAAATCTAAATGCTAAAAAATACACGCGTAAAAACACTTAACATCCATTCTATATTTCATAATTAACAATAAAAGGTCATATTTTATGCAAAATGTACCAAGTAAATATAAATAAAAGTCGAGAAACAAACAAAATTCAAAGGCATATTTATATTACAAATTTCAAATACAAGACATCTTAAACATTCAATAAAAAGTGAGGGTGAGTGTTGCAGAGTGAAAAGAACAGAGGAGGTTGATGGTTCAAAGCTCAAAAGGGAGGTGAGAGTTCAGAGTAGAGAAAAGAATGAAAGGCAAGCTCAAGATGTGTGGGTGTTAGTGGAACAACGTAGGCCCGCATGATAGATAAAAGCATGGGAAACTATATTCAATTAAGGATTTTTTTTAAATTCTAAAAAAGGGGACTGAATCTTAACTTTGCCCCTAGAAAACCCCCAAAACGATACTATTTTGAGGACAAAAATAGGTTTTCAAAAAAGCCTCACTCTAGTGCCTCTATGATCACTATTTTGGTTGCAACTGTAGCCGCGGTTCAAAACTTTGTTGCTACCCATGGCCACTCCGCACTGCCACACCCATGGCCGTGTTATTGATAACTATGCCTAGAAAAATACCTCTCGAGACTGATTAATTCAGCTTGCAAACAAGCTAGGAGAACATGCTCACTTCGCGAGTCATATTCATCAGCCAAAAGTTATTCAAATTTCTGAAAAATACCCAACCGTCATTGAAACAGTAGGGTCCCAAAATTTGTATAGAAGGAAGATAATTTTTCATATATCAAATTGCTGCTATATACATTTAGATTTAGAATGTAAATACAGTGGGAATGGAAACCTCAAGGCCCTGAGCACCCACTCATCATCATCCTCTCTCATCTGCACTCAAGGGTAAAACATATTCCGAGGAAATTCCAATAAGCTGACCAAACTCCAGCAGAATAGGAAGATATATTTGCAAAGGTTAATGCATGACTATATGGGACTCGCTCTTGATGTCTGCAAAAACAACAGAGCTTATGTCACTAAAAGTTCTTTTTGTGAGTGTTCAACAGAGTAAAAAACGAGATAAAAACAATGAAAAAAAATAAAAGAAATTCACAGAAAAGAGATAAATACTTGAATTAACTCAATGGGAGCTAGCTCGCAGAGAAAACTAACTCACAGAAAATGAATCAAGTTTGCTGGTTAACTAAACAAGGTTATTGTGCTATGACAATCGTCTTAAACAACATGATTTAGAATCAAAAAGTGTTGTCTGCCAATCTTGAGCAATCCATATAAAAAAATTGTACAGATGGAGGATAAGAAAAGGAAAGAGTTCAGAATTGCAAATTATTAAATTAATAACTTAAAAGGCTTCAACATATATGTGTAGACTGTCGTCAGATCAAGAGTTGATTACTGCATAGTTAATTAAACCAAAGGGAGAGATGCGTGACATAGGGACCTGATTCTGCATGCTTGTTGCTGTAGTCCAGCGCTGAGGCTGATGAATTGCAATTGAACTATCGGCAACAAACGCTAATGTACTTGATTCTTCTTGTATGCCAGTAGCTTCTGCAGGTGGTAGTTCTCTCATTACCCACAGTACCACTGCTGAAGGAATTGATGAACCTAGAAGAAATGTCATATTCAGATTTAAAGGAGATGAAACCACTTCCGAAAGCAAGTAACAATTGTATGCTATGTTAAGGTTGAATGAAGAACATAAACCAAGTATAGATAGCAGGCCCTATAAAATTATTTCAAATACTGTTATCACTTGCAAAAGGGAATGAAATGAATAAACGATTCCAGTAACTGAAATATGATAATTGCTAACAATATTAACAGTACATACCCACAAAATAATACAAAATGAATAAAAGAGCGGTGTAAACATCATTAAGATGCCACTGATGCCAGCGATACAGCATCTGCAATAATAGAATAATAACGAAACATGAATGTGAGGAAACTTCAAAAGTTTTGAACTTTTTATCAAGTAAAAAGGACATAGTTCTTGCACTCAGTTAACTCATACATACAGGAATATCGGTTAAAAGTTCTACACAGGAACTTGATGTGAAGCATAGTACGGAGACAATAGTTAAACCTGCAACCTGAGTAAACCAAATACTTCAACAATTTATTTAAATTTAATGCACACACAAGCATAATAGCACAATCCTTTATCTTTCTGTCTATAGATATGTATATTTTTAAAACTAAAATAAGCATCTAAATTATGCATCAGATGAAAAGGTGGATCAAGTGCTGGCAGTCATGGGTGGCACCCAATAGCTGGCAGACCATCATGCCCCTGAAACTAAAAAAAGTTCAATCACAAAGGCTATATGTTGTCAAATATTACACTGGAAACGGAAATGCAGTACCTTCCACATTTCAGATGAAGGTTTCTCAGCTCTCACTTTGCTCATTTTCAAGCATAATAGGATTCCTGTTTAAAATATACTACAAATATTATAATCAAAAACTTAGTTAACAAAAGTGTACATATATCACAACTCACTAGCCATCAACTGATAGATTCAAACACGTATATAGTAAGAGAAAGAAGACTAGTTAGGAAATAAAAGTAAATAACCAATTCTGTTAATAGTGGACAGCTGGCTCTTTTAACAATATAAATAAGAGCACAAAGATAGTTAGGAGTTTTGAGTTTTTTGCAGTTGGCATAGAATAGACTGGTATGGAGAGTGCGGTCTCTCGAATTACCTCAGGTTATTGGAATCTTGTAACAATTCTTCCTATTCCTAATCTGTACCACATTGGTGTAGCATTGGGAATTAGGTTCAGCAATAAAGAAAAATTCTTTCATGTTCAGTTTAACATTTGGTTCTATCATCAACACTTCAACCCAAAATAAAAAAGAAAGACTTACACCTTTTTAAATTATAAATCCATCCAAAGCTTGTCACAGTATGATTTTTTTTATTTGCACATGGAGATTTCCACTTCATGATAGTAATATAGATTGAGAAAGAAAGGAAAAATTGGGATCAAAGCATTCAAGAAATCCTATCCCTTTGTAGTGAGTAATCAATAATGCTTAAAAGCATTTTTTCAACCCTCCAACTAATGTCCCTTTTCTTATATTAGCATCAGCTATATACTGAATTGATATCAAATAGTTGCTTTGGAAGCCAAGAGATGCAGACAATTCATTTATTGAAGCAGGGTGGAATTTCTCACAGCAAGATGCTTTTGTAAATTAGCTGTTAGAAGAAGAATTTGGCCACTTTATTATAATTTTTGAAGGAAAGTGTCTGAGGCTATATTGGAGTAGGGTTATTTGCAGGAGCAATCCAATGAAGGATGCTTTGAAATCATGCAAATGATAAGTATTACTAAATATAGGAACAGGGATTGTACAGGAGAGCTATGCAAGTATGCATATACCTATAATTGCCTTTTTCCGTGATTTCTAGATACAACAAGCAAATTAGGGTACCTCGTAGATAAGTACAAGTTCTATTCGAATGTTTCAGTAAAACTTTCCTAAATTTGGAACTTTAACATTTAGGTAGATTCCTTTTTTTTTATTCTAAGAAGGTAGGGGAGTTGGAAGGCACAAAAGGCATGATACATAACCTCTATGGTTTATATAAACACTAGTAAATTAAAATGAAATTATGAGAAAGTTGATATGCATGGACAAAAAATAGGATCCTAGAGCAACTAGCTTATTGAAGTACGTATACCATATGAAACAGGAGGAAGAAGGGGTGCAGGTGGTGGTCTTTGATTGAATGTACACAAGAGAGTAGGACATATGTATGTCTGCTAAATTTATGCTCTGTATCAGTTATAATTGACAGGACATGTCTGTTTGCTAGGCTGGTTTGGGAATTGGGATCGGGAAAGACAAGATAGTTATGTACATGTTATGACTTTAATTTCAATTAACATTCCACAGAAACACAGTATATAATAGCTTGTCTATATTTGTTTTAGCAAATAATAACAAGGAATAATAATCAAATTCTAAATTCAGTTAAGACTTGCACTTAGCAGTGTCACACCAAGAATAGATGGCAAGAAGCACAAGCATTATGAGGATCTAAAAATTAATTTGATTTGACAATAAATGTTATAGAGTACTAACGCAATATACATTACCATAAAGGCAAGCATTTTGACTATATATTTTTATCATAACTTGTTGTCTATATTTGTTTTTGTAAATAACAAGGAATAATAATCAAATTGTAAATTAAGAGTTTAGAATTGCATAGTGCGGTGCCATGCAACGAGTAGAAGGCAAGAAGCACAGGCATTATGAGGGTCTAAAAATTAATTTGATTTGACAATAAACACACCTTCCAGATAACCTGCTGAATACATACATACATATGTTACCAGGTTCAATCATTGCTTAATGTTATGCATTTGCATAAACAGACAAACAAAGCTGTACATCCACCCAAGCAAAAGAAATTAAATAAATACAAATCTACTGAAACATAGAATGGAAAATAGAATAGCAGTTGCTCACCATAGCAAGCTAATGCTCCTCCCAACAAAAGCATTCCAATGGCAGAAAGATCTAAATATACCTGCATGATATTTTTGGTTATCATGAAAAGATTTTTGAAAGATAAAGGAACATGCATGATTCATGGACAATCACCTTCATATTTAAAATAAACAGATTCTCTTCTCAAGTCATAGCTAAGGCAGCTCAACTTATGGGTATACTGTAGGCTAATTTCACTGATGATACCATTAAGTAAGCACCAGTGCTTGGCCAATATTAGTATTTGCTCCAACTATTACTTTATATAAACCATCATCCAAATATTTTAAACACATCTAAAATTTCATCTTCATCCAAGCAAAATATGCCAATGGTCTTTGCACTCTTTTCTTAAAAGAAAATTAGAATAACCTCCAAGATTTCTATCTAAAGCTGCTATATTTTTGCAAGAAACAAGGGTTGGGGCACACAACCATTTTACAAGGGGCAAGGGCTTCTCTTATAGGTATGCTGTGACAATGGGTAGCTTTGCTTCAATGGGTATCACTCTATTGTTTGTTTTCTAATTTCCTTTTTAAAGAGGATTTATTATCCTCCTAATATTTTGTAATCATTTGCTATTTGTCAAAAAGAATTTCTCCTTTTGTAGAAAAACATTTACAGAGATTTAACCCAATTAAATCAATTGAAGAGTTTAGCTTTGGTTGGGGCTTGATCCCTCTCTTTTATCAAGGAAAAAGACATGGAATTAGTGGCATACTAGTGACACTGATAAAGATAAAAGGTCAATCTCAACTACTATGCCACTAAGAGAGTCAGAGTGGCACATGGTATCATAGATTCTAAATAATAACAACAACCAAAGCCTTCTCCTATTAAGGTGGGATTGGCTACATGGATCCAATGATAGCATTGTATTCTGTCATGAACTAAATCCTCAGCAAGTCCATCTAGATCTAAGTCATTTTTAATGGATAGATTATAAACCAAAGCTAAAATTACTGCACTCATACCCGAGCAGCCACTTCAGAATCAATGGGATTCTTTCCTAGCCCAATCCAGATTATTATAGCAAATGCCGTCATCATGATGAAAACTAGTGATGTAACCTGAAAAATCGTACGAGTCATTATATATGAAGGAAATACTTGGTAAAGTAAATTATTAGATGACTGTCAAAATAAAGGGGGGAAACTGACACCACAGAAGTCAAAACTACATGAGAAGAAACATTTATTATTTCTCATACCAAAAACACAATCTTTTGCCGATTTCCAACACGAGACAACCGAACAGGAAAGCACTTTCTATGGCTATCTATGCTTGCTAAATTTGATTCATTTGAAGTCTTTTCGAGGAAAGGTTCCTCAGAAAAGCTTCCTTCATAGTCATCATCATCATCTGGCTGATGGCAAAGGTCAACCCTGCAAAAGGAAACCCACGTGCAATGTAGAAAGCCATTCACATTTAGCAATACAATAGTCTGAAATTATGTAATATAGATATAACATTTGGGAAGTTACTTCCTCAATTCTCATTCAATTTTCATGTCAATGTTAGCAGATTACGTGTATGGTTACATGATTAAATATTTATGCAAGAGTGGGGATAAGTGGGCGCCAAGCCGCCAGTAGACATACAACCCATCTGCCCTCCCCACATCTCTTTGATTTTCACACTTTTTAACTTCTGTGCAAAATTTTTTTCATGTACTCTCCTAAAATATTTAACGCATTGCCATAACACAAATTAGTTCTTATCTACCAATCCTTTTTGTTAGAAAAGAATGAATTGCCGTCAAGATCACACTCAATTATAATAAAGCTTTTGTATCAATGTCACTGTTAGTCATTCTGTGGTTGTGATTTATTCTGTAGCCAAAGATTATTATCCTAACAAGACCATGCAAATTGAAAAGGAAATAATAAAAAATTGAAAATTTTAGCATTAATGTTTTTATTTTTCAACATCAATTCAATATAAGTTATGATACAAGGTTGCACAATATTTATTTGGTGGAGTCTAACATAAAATTTATACTTTTGACTGTATACAGTATATAAATCATCTGATTAAGTTTAATCATGCTTATGTAGGGGTAACCTGACTCAAGAGTCCAGTTCAACCACATGATATAAATAGTTAAAATTATAGAAATGGCTTGATACACACAATTCCTGCAACAAATAACAATACTCAAAATATAATGTTTGACTCTTAGGCAACTCACAGAAATAGTTAAAATGCCAAAACAACAGAACAATGTTTGACTTCTAGGCAACTCACAGAAATAACTGACAGTCTATAACACCTAAGAGGCTATGTTGCTTACAGAAATATGCACATCTTTTTAAGAAAGGCATGCTTGTTTGTGGAGATATAGTAATAACAACGTAGCCTGAATTGTAAATTTTTGCAATCTTGCTGCCATAAATTAAACAATGATTCACCACTACAGTTGAAGAAGATGGCGAGAGAAATAAAAGTTATAAGCAGACAAAAAAGGAAAGAGATAGCAACAGAGACTCAAGCAGGGGAGACAATTGGATTTGGACCCAATGGGTTATGGGTATCTATTAAATTTACCCATAATGTGTAGATTGTAGAGCTTTTACCTATCAAATGGATTTGGGTCATGGTAGACTTGCAAAAAATTGTGGACATGAGTGTGTGCAGGTCTGGGTACTTACCCAGAATACTTGATGCCTACAAAATATGTTGCTAAGTTTTATACCTAGGATTTGAAAGATCATTTGATATTTTTTTGAAATGTTACATGTTGTACTTATAATAAATGTTCTATTTTTTTTTTATTATTATTTTTTTTTTTTGTATATGTGTGTGTGAAACAACATTCTTATTCATTAGTTCACCAAATCAATAAAGGGGGAGCATATTCCAGTAATGGGTCTGGGTATACAGGTGCTCAATTGTATGCCTATGGGCATTAAAATTAATGCTTACAGAAGTATCAAATTTTTTTCCCTAAATGCATGTATCACCATATATACTCTAGTAGTCTAAACCCTATCCACTGCCATCTGTACTTAAGAGGGCATGTAAGTACTTGCTGTAAGTAAATCTTTCTGGCAAATATATATTGCTAGCGTGCATAGTATATTTAAATATCTTAACAACAACCAAGATTACATACCAGAAGGATAAAAGAAGAAGAAATGCTGCAAAAAGAAGTACTTTGGGGAAAGCTGCAAAAAAATTTTCAACAGTTCAAACGTTTTATTAAAGGATAACAATTTACCGAAGGTGTCTAGTCAGAAAATGGGGGAGGCATACCCATAAATACAAAACCACAAGAGTGTGACCAACAGGTCCATCCCTTGCATGCAGCAACAAGTGTCAATACCAAATAAATGAAGTAACCTGAAATTTTAAATTCAGTAATTAGATGAAATAAAGAGAAAAGTGGGGAGGGGGTATGAATTATTGACAGCTAACAATTCATTGATCAAAGCATGTATTTTGTGATAAGTGGTAAAATTAGAACATTTCACATATTGGACAACAATAGTATCAAGAAGTTATGGAAAGAATATCTTTTCTGCATAGAAGAATTGCTATGTGTGAAACCTAGGTAGTTTTATATTATGTCCATCACCCAAGCCCTATTCCTATGGCAATGCTAACTCAGACGATTAAGATGGGCAGGCAGGCCACCCATGATATCAGCTTTTGAACATTAGAAGGCCAAAAGAATGTCAGACATGAGCAACTAACTTACCTTGATATGGTCTACAATAAAATTGGTGCACCATTTTTGTTTCCCAATCAAATTTGTCATTGCCTAACCAAAGATATCTAAATATATTTTCCAATAACATGCAAGGTTCCCAATTCAGCTCTGCCTCACATTGTGCAACAGAAAAACTTAGCATGATTTCCACAATGAGTTTTTAGCCCATAAGTTGAGTTGGAGAAATATTTATCCCACCTTATTAAATGATGTAACTTCAATTTATTTTTACACTAAATATCATCAACGTGAAGAGAGAATTTGGGGAGGGGGGGGGGGTTTGACGATATTGTCTTAAAGTTGTAACATGCTAATTTTCAAGTCGAAACAAGCTAAAGAATGCCAACCTAGGCCCAAGTAATGTTAAGTTTGTCAAGGGTCTGGCAGGATTCATCCCCATCTTCAGCACCCATACTTATGAAGAATTGAAAAGAGAATGTACAGGAGGCCTTGGTAAGCATATTCAACTTCCCAGTATATATTGCACTGCTAATAGCTTGACATTTCAGAACAGGAAAGTGTCCTATGGACATAGATACACTTCTAAAGGTGTAAAGGAAAATAAAAGTCATGATGAATTACAAATCCAAAAGGAAATACAGTGGACAATGTCAGGTAAGAGTAACACTAAAAACAGAACCATTTCAGACAAATTACAAATCCAAAACAAATGCAATAGAATAAACTTAAGAAAGAAGGAAAAAAAGCAAGATAAATAGGAAATGCAGGTCAAAGTGCCAAAGTATAAAGCATAGCCAATAGCGGCACTATTGCAGCAGAGCGGCTCCCTGCCGCTATTCCAAGTGCATAGCATCATGGTTCAGTGTAGCGGTTGGAGCGACGTGAATTGCGGTTGTTGCGACTGCTATTTGATGCACAACAAAAATGTCAAATTTACCCTTATTTTCTTAACATTAGAAGGCTTTAAGAGGGATGATTTTGAGATTTTGCTCCCCTTTTACATTGGCAATTTTTGCATGTCATTGTACCATTCAAACTTAGTACTCTTGAACACTAAGTGCTCCCATTCACCATCTCTCAAGTTCCGATCATCTTCTTCATCTCCAGCAAGATGTACTCATTTATAATGTGACCCATTTGTGTTAAGGACTACTTTTCAACCAAAATCTGACTTTGTTCACTATATCCAGCTAAGTTATAGTCATCTTCTTCATTTCTAGCAAGACTCATTCATTTTCTAATGAGACCAACTGCACTGGGGGCTTTATTCGATGAGACCAATCTGGTTTGTTCTATTTTTCTTCTTTGTTTTAGTCTGACTTTTGAGAACCCTCCCAAACGATTGAAATCTTAGCATATATATGTGTAGCAAAATCTATATTTGATATTTTAAATTTTCATAATAGCAGTCATCCTGCTATCCACTATTTCGCTATAACATTTTTGGAGTCAGTTGCTTTGCACCGTTATTTGGGATTGACTACGATGATATAAAACTACCCTAAAATAAAACAAACTTGAAAATCAGTGGTACTAGACACGAATGTGAAGATAATTAAAAAGTTATAATCTCTCTGATGAAATGCTGTAGTTGTGGACCAAATCTATCTAAACCCAATCATTTATCAATTATAACAAGTAATGATAAAATATCAGAATGTGCTCATACATAATAGCAAACTACGAAATGCTAAAATCATAAGGTAACCACTAAAAAGTGAGGAAATGATGAAAGATAACACATAACAATAGACTTGAACATCAAAAGTAAAATACAACTAACCGAAATTAGAAGAGCCAATCAATACATGAAACACCTGCAATGCATCATATTTACATCTCATCAGAAGCTGGTGTGTATATAAACAGATGCAAGTATAATAGCAAGTAAAAAGCCTAGAGCACTGAGTGGCATGAATACTAAACACCCATAAAAATTTATATATAAATAAAAATTCAAAGATAGAAGTAGCATTTTCCTAAGCATAATGTTATACAAATGCCTAATTGTGTTTTGATATCCCTCTCCATGTGTTTCCTTTCTGAGAATAAAGGACAGCACTAACATTAACTATTTCATACGCAGACATTACATTGTGACGAGAATATATTGCATACATTCACCACTTAATATTCTCACACACGCACATATACACATACACCAGTAAAATTTAGAAGGGACAAAAGGCAAAAGGAGAAAAAACAGGGTGGTTGAACTCTGAATTAAGGGCAGCACATATTCTCATCTATAAATTACTAAAAGACAATTAATTTAAGCAGTACCAAAAGCTTATTTTTCTGGCCTTCAGTCTCCACTATAACCACACTGGATCTTGATTCATATCCTAATGTTCTAATGAATGTTGCATTGGAAACCCTCTCAAATCTTGATAATTAGTATAGTAGCGACATAGTTCCAACAGCACTGCCATACTCAACGAGACTACAGTACCAACCAGTAAGTGGTGACCATTCACTTGTTACAATTACAACATAAACAGGTTCATCCATTCAGAAAAAGTCCAATCACAGTAGCAATCTCAGACAAGTAGCAGGTAAAAATGCACTTACTTTTTGCCGACTCCAACCACGCTGCAAATTCCTCATGTGAATCCTTAGCAACTGCAGCACCAAAATAAAAAACTGAAACTAAGTAAAGGCAAAGAACTTCGGTACTTCACACCTTAGCACAAAGGAGCTTACTCTCCAAAATCAATGTTATGGAAAATTATCCCTGACTCTTAAAACCGAACAATAATGAAGTAAAACCACAAAAGTCAACATCAGGAGTAACTAAAATTAAGTCAATTAACAATACAAGAATCAATCACACTCCGAACGATAATTCCTCCACACTAAGCACGGGTTTACCGAGATAGTCAATTGAATATTAGAAACAACAATTTAAACAAAAGGCCCTTAAAAAACACAACACAACGTTGACAATAGAGAAGAAACGGTAAAAAGAATTGAAAATGCACGTTTATTTACTCTCCCAAATCCAACGCATTCTAGAGGAAAAACCTAATTGCAAACCACGACACGAAAAGAGAAATTGAAATGCGAGAGGCAATGCGAGAAGGAACCTGAAAGGAGGCAAGGAAAGCGAGAAGAGCGTGAAGAAGAGCGAGAGCGAGAATTACAGCGAGAAGGAGACGCGAAAAACAGAGAGCGTCTCCGAATGGCGACATGGCGTGGATGGTGTGTTGTTGTTGCACTCTCATCCAGATCTACGCATACATACGCATATGCATGTATCTCTCTATCTATGTATTGTGTGACAGATTCACAGCAACAACAACAACAACATCAACAACGTGACACAGCTTGGTTTTGCTTTGGCTTAATTAGAGGAGGGACATCGATGGAAAATCCAAAAATAAGGTGAATCTGCGATAAGAATTGTGGAGAACAGACGCATTCACTCTCTTCTCTCTTCTGTCACATGAACTAACATTGTCGCTTTTTTAGGTCTTTAAAGTGCCCTTCCCCTTTGACTTCTTGCTTTGACTCTCCTTTCTTAATCTCATTTCCCATTTATTCTCGCTTTTAAATCTTTTTGTTTTTATTATTTAATTGCATCTTTTCTTTGCCTAATCTATACAAACTATTATCTATAATTTACAGATAAAAGTTACTGTTAAGTAAATTTATTAAATTCAAATATTTGATGGATATACACTTGTCCTAAATGAATGTGTTATATAACATATATAATTTTCTAAATTTTATAAATAAATATATTTTGAATAATTATAATATTTGAAATTATTAATTTGTTTTAAACGCTTATAATATTCAAGCTACAAATCAAATAATCTATTCGTAAACAATGATTTTTTTGGTGATATATAACTTTTTCACATATTCAATTTTATTAATTATATACCCTATTAATTAATTTTGACCAGTTAAATAATAATTATACCCACTTCTTATTTATTTTATTCACTCGTGTCCCTAAAATATTTTTTTCTATAATAATAATAATAATAATAATGATTTTCTTAAATTTTAATTCTCTAAATTTCAATCATCAAACAAATGGACCATTGTTTGTTGACTATATTTAATTTCATCAATCAAGTAAGAGAAAGAAGAAAAAAATGCTACCAATGACATCAATGATAATTAAAAAGCAGTTATAATAATTGACAAAAATAATTATAGCCAACATAATAAAATTAAAAAAAATAATTAAGAGAATCAAAATATTAGTTTTGCCAAAATTATAGAATGATAATAATATAATTAAAGAATGTGTATTATTAACTAGTGTGAAGATACATTAAAGGTTCACAGAGAATGTTCATTAATAATATTTGTTTAACTAAAATTTTATCCTTTTGATTGTTGTGAATGGTATATCTACAATTCATGTCAACTTTTGATACCAATAAAGTTGTTTATCAATGCAACACATTGTTAGTGCAAACTTGAAAGGTTCATATTATAGTTTTAGATAAGAATTATACCAATAGATGCGAATTATGAGTCTTTTAAGATGCACATCGTAAGTATTTTTGCATCAAGTTGAATAATTATTTTAAACTTAATCTGACTAAATTAAAAACTACAATAAAGTGTAGCCTTGAGAGCACTCAAGACAAGGTACTCAACAACTTAAACAAACAAAATTCAATTATATTCAACAAATTCTTTCGATATTATTTGTTATTATGTATGCATTGTAATGTGAGAGAGAATAATTTGAAGATATTCTTTGATATTTTTATCAATTACGAAGGGTTTCACTTTTGGAGTTCATGCAACTAGGTACGATATATAGAAGTGGAGTTTTTGTTAAGAGTAGTAAAAATGGTGATTGTCACTTTGGATTCAGATGGTGAATGGTTGTTGAGTTTTAAATTTTGTTTGGAAATAAATTAAGAGAGAAGATGGAAGAATCTGAAAGATAAAAACTAAACAAAATTAAAAATATAAAATTAAAAGTTTTAAAAACCTCTCTTATTTAAAACTTTTAAATAAGTGTTTTAAATAAACTTTTTAAAAATAATTAACTCTCAAACAAAATTTTAAATTTTAATAATGTTACTAAAAATAAAAAAAAGGTTGAAAAAACTAAAACTTATAATACTAAGTAGCATAAGTTTATAATTTTGAAGAGCTTGCTTTTTTTTTTTTTTTACATCTATCCTTAAAACTAATAGAATAAGTTAAACTGAGTTAAAAAATAATTGGTGCATGAAATTAATATTTTAAACTGTTAGATATTTTTTTATAAAAATAACGGTTAAGATTTTTACTTTTATTTAATAGTATTAATTTTTAGAAATTTATGATTTAATTTTTGTAAAAATTTGTAAAATTATTTTTTCAACATTTAAAAGTTGTTATTTTAAATTTTTATAAGATTGTATTAATAGTAATTTTTAATCTTTGATTTTTATAGGTAAATTTTATATGTATCCTATATGTAAGTGGTTATTTTAAAAATTAAAAATTTTACATATATTAATATAATTTTAATTTATAACCAAAATCACCTTTTGAATTAATAGACATTGAATGTTATTTTAAATTTTTAAGAAAATTTACATATATAATTTACGATATTTGAATTAACAAACATTAAATGTTATTTTAAAGTTTTAAAGTTCAACTTAAAAACTTTATGTATGTAGTTTATGGTGTTCAAAATTAAAATTTTTACATGTTTTTTCATAATTTTAAATTTTAATTCATAATTTTTTTTTATATTGATAAGATATTCGATGCCATTTTAGATTTTCTTTAAGTCCTCCCTATATATTAGTTGCATCTATGTAGTATAATATATGCATAATTTACTTAAGTTATTTTGACCTCACTTAAGCAAAAGTTACATGAAAAAAAAGTGCTCGCTCAAAGACTATCGCTTAAGCAATATTAAAAATAATCTAAGAATATAATTTTTACTTAAATGAATCATGTTAGCTTAAAAAAATTAACCTAATTTAAGTAAATTGTGTTAAAAAATAATTATTATATCTTGAGCTTAAGCGAAAAATAATGACTTAAATAAAAATTGATGAAATTTATATAGCCATCATTATATAAATTTAACTTAAACGAATATGGTGTGACTTAAGCAAATTTTACAGACCACGATATTCTTGCATTTTTTTATATTCAATTACATCTCTTTAATCATTATTCTTATTTTGATTTAGCCAAATTATTCATTGCAAATAGAATTTTGATAAATATGTAATATTTTTAATTTTAATTAATTATAATTACAAATATCACAGAAAGAAAATACAATTATTTAGATTGGTGAATTCAAAAAATAAATTTACATAATTAGAAAAAAGAAATCAAGTACATGTTATATTCACGTGAGAAAAGAATAAACAAAGTCTTTATGCTACTATTTCAAGATAATTATTTGATTTCATTCGATTTTAACTTATATATTATTTTTAAATTTGTTAATCTTTAATTTTAATTACAGTCACTAAATTTATTAAACTAGTTATAAAAAGCTACAAAGAAAAACTCAAATTAATATAAAAAATAAAAATAAAAAGTAATATATTTAAAAGAATAAATAAAAAAATCACATTCAAAATTATTATAATTAAGTCATGTTTTAAAAAATTATCTTCAAATAATTTATTTTAAATATGTAGTATTTTGATATCTTTAATCTAAAAATATTTAAAAAATTAAAATATAAATATTATAACTTTTAAAATTTATTTAAATATATTATTTTACTAATTTTTCATATAATATACTAACTTACCTTGATTATTACTCAAAATATAAACCATATTACACGTTATAAGTATACTCATCAAAAGTCAATTTAATAATACAAAAATATATTAAAAAACTTGTACTTCAGCCAGATATACAAAATCAACCCTAAACGAGGAAAAAGATACATCTTCCTTCCAAACCCTTTTTTAGGATTTTGAAATTAGGAGAAAACTTTGAACACCCTCGCAAATAGTGTTAAGGACTATGATGAATTTTGGAAAGTCCGGCAAATTTCTTTCTTATTACTAACTATTGCTTTTATACGCAAATAATTGTTTTAAACTTTTAGAAGTATTAAATATAACTAAAATTAAATAATAAATGTTTAAAATAGATGACGAGAAGATTATATAGACCTTTTTATGTCTTTTTATTATTTATATTTTTCTATTGGCTATTTTCTGATAATTTTTTAACTTTCCCTTTGGGGAATTTTCTTTTACCGTTTTAAGGCAATTTCATCATTCTTAAGATTTACTGAATTCATTAGTTTTCTATTAGTTATCAGTGACAAATCTGGTATCTAAATAAACAGTATCAAAATAAAATTAGAATATTCGCATTTTATTGTTAACGTGCATGGAAGAATATCCCTACTCAACAGTAGAACTAAAATTGTGCATTCTCTCTTAGAGAAAATGAATAAATAAATAAATAAATATTCATATGATAGCAATAGTTCTCTCTGACGTGATTTGTCCGTTTAGTTGTTATGCTATGTTTATGGAGGAAGTATTCTTAACTTGAAAGCATTTGACTCCAAGCAATGACTATACCAAAGTTCTATTCAATGTGTAATCAAAGAAAAATATAACATATCCAAATATATGAGTATGAATAAATACTTATAAAATTATACGGATACAAGTATGAATATTGTAGTATTTATACTCGTTTACTTGCATACTGCACACACATATAAGCTTTGTAAGATGGTATTATAAAACACCAATTAATACAAAAGTTCTTATATTTACACAAAAACACACAATGGAATCACAAAACTATAAAACTATGATGTATAAATGCATGTACTTGAGCATTCGGAAGATCCCAGATATGAAATGTTAGCTGCATAATAAGATGAATACATGTATCCCACTAACTAAAAGCTATTGAGCATAGTTGTAGACTTTCTTTACAGAGGATTGATTTGATTAATCATTAAATATTGTACTAGTTTCCCGCAATTCACTTAATATGTACATATTCTCTGCCCTTGATTTGGTGGGCATCTTTAGCTTGCATTGTTGGACTAAGGACTTACCAAATGTCAAGAAGGTGCTGATTCTTCATGTCTTTTCTAACTTTATTGTTGTGATTTGTGGTGATTCCTGTGAAAAACCATTTCTGGAAGCGCCTTCGGTTACTACCACTCTCGTGCGGACCATAGAATTTCAAATACACGTTTAAAGTGGTTATTTTATTACTAGGTTAATCTCGGGCAATTTCTACCCAATAAAGCAGGAAATAAAAAAAATGATAAAAGTATTTATTACATTTTAAATATAAAAAATAAATATTTAATTTTAAACAAATATAAATAACTAATATTTTCATAATATTTTATAATTCTCGTTTCAAGATAAGGAAGTTAGAAATCGGTCACCAAACAGCTGTAGACAGCTTTTGTTCGAATTGTAGCGTGGATTCTCTTTCTTCCATGTAATTTTAGGTTGGTTTTATTAGAAAATTGTTATAATAAAAATATATTTTTTAAATTAATTTATTGTTTATGATTATTATTAAAAAAATTAATAGATTTTTATTCATTTAAATAAGTGATTTTTTTTTATTTCTCTAAATAACATATCTTTTTTATTTTATTTCTTACTAATTTTTCTGTTCTTTTTATTTTTTTCTCATTTAAATATGCCATTAGTTTAAAAGCGTCAACAAATACTATTATAATATTTTGAAAAATAAAAAATAATATTGAATAGACGATAACATTATTAAAATATTCATGAATTTTAATTATTCTTGTTTAGTTGACTCTAAACCGCTTATGCATAAAAGAAAAAAGAAAGAGTAGAAAGGTCACATAACTATTTATACAATACTATTAATTTTTTTCTTCAAATAATAATATTTATTTTTAATTTAATCATTTGAATAATAAATTATCAAAGTAACTAAAAAAAGAAATGAATAGAGAGTACCCACCTGGCAGCTAATAGTTTGATGCCACATCAGAGCACCCACGTTGGACTAGAAGACTATGTGACTCCATCAAAACGCGGAGCAGTTTTGGTTCCACTCTTTCATTTCAAACTTCTTAATTTAAATATTCAAACCACCATAAATATTATTAAAATATTCAAACTTGTACGCTCACAAAGCACCATCCAAATTGGAAAAACAGTGTGTTCCAAGAAAAAGTAATCGAAAAGCCAAAGTGTGGAACCTTCCTTTTCTCCCCAATATAACTCCAACACGTTTCTCTCTTTTGTTGCTCAAAGGAAATTAAACCCACCAAGCAAAATCACATATTTTTTTCTGGGTCCAAAGTTTGATTTGAGTAAACGGACATGGTTGGGAAGAAGAGATGCTTCCTCAAGAGGCTGAAGAAAGAGTCGTGGACGTGGAAGTGGAAGTACCTGTCCTCTGCATTCAAGTGGAAGAGCCTTTCTTCTTTGCCGGTCTCTTTCTTCGACGACGTGGCTTTCCAGGTTGTGTCTGCGTGTGAGGCCATTGTGCTGATTCTCATTGCTTGCTTTTTCTACCTTTGCTGTGGCTGCCACCTTTGAGTTTCACCCCTTTGCCTCTCTTATTCTCTTTCATGTAATTGAGTTTTGTAATCAAATCCGTATTAAATGCAAACTGAGCTTTTTAGCTTCTGTATTTTTATGTCTATATATGAATCAATGCTTCAAAATAAAATAGAGATAGTAAATCACAATAACAGAAGACAGACAATGATTGTCTCAGATTCCACCCCATAAAAACACAAACACGCTTACTGAATTCTATTCAAATTCTAACTCACCAAAAAAGAAAGAAAAAAAAAAACACTATTCCATATAAATTTTACATATAAATTTATATGGAATAGTGTTTGGCATTGCTTAAAATTTTACATTTTTCATATATTTTTCCATATAAATTTCTTTTGAAAATAATTGAAACCTGCTTTGAAAACAACAAAAGCTGTGTGTTTTATCGCGTTTCTAGTTCCTTTACGATGCTTGTGTGGATGAAAGGATGAAACAGGAATGATATACGAACGTAAGAAAATTTTTCGCTCTGGTGGTTTAGTATGAAAACTGACAGTAATACGTAAATCTATTAGTTAATAATTCAAAACTTAACAAGCAGGTAATACAGTGTCTTATGTACAACTTAATTTTAATATTTTACGTTTAAATTTTATATATATATATATATATATATATATGTGATTTTATTATTTTCTATAGTTTTAAAATTCATAATATAATTTTAAAAAAACATTAAATGAGTTTCACAAATTACTTCATATTTTATATTAGAAAATATTAAAAATATAAATTATTTATAAAATATAAAATGTTTATGAGACATTTTTATTTAGTTAAAAGATCCGAATTTCAAGCTATAGTTGCTTATTTAGTATTTGATAATGGTAAATAGGGTTAAACCACCATTATTAGCCGAATCGACTACACCCCAAATCCAAGGAACCACGCATCAGTAAAACTTTCAAAATTTAAGAAAATTCATGTTTATATATAAGAGGAATTAAGTACTTTTATTTGTCTTACTAAAACTCTCTCAAAATTTTTACTAAACATTAGTGTGTTTCTTTCTCAATTGTACTAACAAGAGGTGAAGATCATTACTCCCTCCTAGATCAAGGAACTAAACAAAATTGTGTGATTAGGTTTGTTTCATGTAAGCTATTCCGAATAATATTCTGAGCCATATCTTTAATAAAAATAACATGAAATTCACCTTTATATAATATTGGCATTCTTCCTTTTCGGATTGTATAGCTTGACGAGGGGTTATAATCATTTCATGGAGTCCAATAACTTGTGCTTTTCATGAGACTTGTATTCATCTGTTGACTGTAGCATTTCATATTCAATTAGCAGCTGCCTTTTGATGCTATTCGTAGGGATCAATTGTAGGCAGAGATGGCTTCGCTGATCATCTCAATGTCTTCATTGGTGAACACAAGTTTTAGTGAAATGTTGGTTTGATTTGTTAATTGGGAGCAATGGCTCGAGCATAATTGGTGAATGGAGTGACTAAATTTAACAGTAAATTTGTTTATAGATATATAAAATAGATTTTGAAATTATTTTTAATATTTTTAAATTAAAATGTTTATTGTAATTTACTTTATTAAAGACGTGACATTCTGGTATTTTTTTATTAATCTATTTTAAAACAGTCAATACTCCATTATATATTACTAGTTAATAGTATATGCATTGCATAATAAATATTTTTTCTTATATTATTTGTGTAATGATCCCAAGACCATAATTAAACTTGACATTAATATACTCTTCCTACAAATTCTCTAAGTCCAACTCTTTCTTTGCCTATTAGGCTATACTAGTAGAGACTATTCCTCTCAAAGTGCTAGTCTATCTACTGATAACTTGACCATACACTTCACTTGATCATATCAACATTTGTAAAGATAATTTTTCAATGTGAAAGTTAAAGTATGATTTCAAGTGGTACACTTCTTGTTTTTTTAACATTAGACTTTCAACTTATTATCACTTTTAAAATGGACTAAAACACTCATCTAGGAGAAAATAAATTGTATTATATTCGTTATGATAAAATTTTTTTAACTCGAAACAAATATTAATAAGGTTATTTAGAGACTTGGTTAAGGAATTAAAAAAATAAAAATTTATATTAAAAATATAAAAAATATTTAACAATTATATTTTTTAAGTAGTTAAAAGCATTTAGTGTTTAAATATCCATTAAAAGTTATTTAAAAAGATTCATTTAACTTAATTTATTATTATTACTGAGTTTTTAAAATAATTGATAATAATTCTAAGTAATACTAACCTCACACTTATTAACACATTCTTTTTGTAGTATATTTTTCATAATTAATTAAAATTTATTGAAAATTACTAAAATAATATAAGTTTTACTCTTTCTTATTTCTAAATAATATTTTTTTTATATTTTTAGTTTTTAATAAATTTTAATTAATAATAAAAAGTGTGTTGTTAGATTTTTTAATACTTCTCGAATCAACAAAGACATAAATATTTTTCGGTGAGGAAAAAGTTATTTTAATTTTAGGAGTTCTTAAACAATATGTTAAGAATGGTTGAAAAGGAGATATAATAAATAAATAAGAAGCAATTCATTTTAATTTTAGTTAAACATATATATATTTTTAAAATAGTTATAAAAGTGGTTGATTGAAAGAATAGATAATAAACAATGAGAGTAATAATAGATATATTTTTTAACATAATCATATTATATTGTTTAATCACATAAAAGAATTAAAATTCATATTCGTACTTTTATTTTTTATAATTTTTATTTTATCATATTATTTATTATTCTTTTTATATTTTAAAAATATGATAGATAATATGATTAAAAAAAAATAAAAAATTAAGAGAATGAAGGAAGTGAAAGTCATATATAAATATTGTCGAGACTGGTAATTTCGTAACACATCACCCAAATTAAATTACCTCAGCAGTGAGCCTAAGGCAAAACAAAATATCTGATGAACATGACAGTTTAAAGCTGCAAGACCACCATCTTATCTCTTCTGCTCTTCACTCTCAACAGTAGACAGTAGACATGCTTTCCATAACATGCACACCACTTTCCTCTCCTTCTCACACCATTCTAAATCCAAACCACAACCCTCTATTGGGTGCAGCTGCAACTTCAAGGCCATATTTTCTCCCTTTGAAAAGAAGAACTTGCTTCACTACTAGAGCTCTACTTTCTTCCACCAAAGAATTTGTCTTGAAGGATTTCAACGAACGAAGAGCCCTCAAGGTAATTCAAGCCAAACCCATTTCCTGTTTTCCCCTCTTCCATGCATGTTCTCATTTTCTTGCTTTTCTTCACCCAAATGCAGTTTCTCTCCATGTGTATTTGGTGTTTTTGTGCTCGGCATGCATGTATAATAATGATGGTAAAATTCTCAGGGATCATCTGAAAATTTAAAAATTTGAAAAAGAAGAAGAAGAGATTAACATTAATCAACTAGTTGCAATGAAATATACGATCTTATTTCATGTTCTACGTGTCATGGTAACAAGGGGAGTTTAGTCAAATATGGCATGTATTTTGGTGATTGTTTGATGAGATGGGATCAAGATCAGTTGCCTGAGCCTACATTGCTTCTTTTCTTTTTGTTTAGTTGAAAAATTAAAAAAAAATAATCTGATTGTGTCTGAGTTTTCTGTATATTTATTCTATGCATGTTAACAAACACTTGGCTTCTTTTGAAGATTATCTCAGGCTTGGAGAATTTCAATAAAGAAAATATTGCTTCAGTTGTCACTGCTGCAGACAAGGTTATTTACTTCTCTCGTTACATTTTCTCTATTACTTCAGCTCTGTAGGTTGTGTAGTGTTCGTTATGATCTAGAATCCATCCACTGGTTTTGTATCTGATAGCTGATATGTGGATGACAAGAGACCTATGCATAGGAATTATTCTTCTCGCTGGAGTTAAGACTCCTCCTGCATCTGCATGACTTTTTAATAAAAATCTTTGACCAAATTGTAGACTCTTAAATTTGAATTTTGGATTAAGTCAACCCAAAAACTAACTCATAAGATGAGGATTGTTTTGACCTTTATAAGCTCTTATTTGGCTATATTTGTGGTCAATATGAGACTTCAACATAGACAGTAACTTCTCAGGCTTTCCTCTATAAAATATTTCATATTACGATACAAACTAACATGCTAATGGCAATGAATAAGTGATGTAATGCCGTGTGCTTACAGGGTGGAGCAACTCACGTGGATATAGCATGTGACCCTGAGTTGGTGAAGCTAGCTATCAGCTTAACTTCTTGTCCGGTATATTCTTACTTTTTGAATGGATGTCTTAGCCACTTTGATTATATGGTTTCTGGACAAGGGCACAGGGTATTTCAAAGTCACCTCAGCATAAAATGTATGACAATCATGTGATATCTTAATCATTTACAAAGTTGATTTTGAACGTGGTTGTTAATTCTAATTTTGTATGTATTTAAATGTTGAAGAATCATTGACAAACTAGCTAGACATTTACGATCAAAATTTTTTGGGTAATTCTTTTGTAAATCCCCTAGATTGTGGGTCTCTATGTTCTAAATCTAACCTCTTACCTTTATCAGAGAAAATGAAAAGCGAGTCAGAGACCCAAAAGTTGAGTATTCATTTGCAGGAGACTTAACTACAACGACTCTTATAAAAATAAAATCCAAAGTGAAGGATATCCCTATTCAGCTAATCATCTTTTGCAACATGTGTGTCTGTGGTTGGTTAATTCTATTTATATATTAGAAAATGGAATCCAAAATAGATCTCATTATTGTTCAGATGATCTTTTGAAAATGCTATACAGCCAAATTTAATAGAACAGTAAGCTTTTAACTACTAGTGACGTAGGCAACATGAAAATACCTGCTTTCTGCTTCTGCATTTCTTTTTCAATGTTATGTTTCCTCATCTTCACAGCCCTTCAACCCAAAGGTAAGGGGTTTTCAAATGGTGCAATAGTTTTCTTTCTTTTTTCAAGTGTTTTCACCTTTTTATGTCAAAATGCATTACGTGGGTCTTTAGATTTGCTAAACTTCAAAGGAGAAATTATAGAGTAGACTTTGTGTACACAATTAGAGACCTCATTCTCATTCTTCTAGCAGAGAAAATTTAAATATTTTCTGAAGTTCCTCCTTTAACCATTAGGATTCATCCTTCTTGCAGGTCTGTGTTTCTTCTGTTGATCCTGCAACATTTCCAGCTGCAGTTGAAGCAGGAGCACTAATGGTTCGACCTTCTTGCCTAGTTCCACTTTTAATACTAGTTCCAACTTGATACAGTAGTTTTCTCATACGTTATGAATGTTAGCATGACCATATTAGATATTATAATGGACCGTGTGAGATTTTTACTGAACATGATTCAGCATTGACAGGTTGAGATTGGAAACTATGATTCATTCTATGAGAAGGGAATGGTTTTTACTCCTGAGAAGGTAAAGAGTGCATTTCACATTATTAAATCTTGAATTCGTGACATTTGTCATCAAAGTAAAAAATGGATTTGTGATTTTGGTATACATATAATATGTATGCTCCTGTCAGTGTACGAGTGTCAGTGCTTCAGGGAGAAGGTAGAGAAGCAATGACGGGGTTGTGAGGATCAGATGCTAATGACAATTGCAATGCATTCGAAAATAGGACTTTTTTTTTATCTATATAATGAAGATATAATATAATATTTTCTGATCAGTACTGAATATAGATATAGTACCATAAGGTAATCAGCGGACAACTGTAAGAGAATAGAACAAGGCAATTATAATGTTATAATATCTAGGGAACTAATTCTTTTTGTAAGCAAGGTAATGAGATATTTTGTGTGTACTATGTCTGGTCTTTTCATGTTCTCTCTCTATCTAAGAAATAGTTATTTCTGAATTTTTCTTGCTAACTCTGAAGTAGAGTTAATTAACATTTTATTCCTAATTTTAATGTCAAGCATAAATGGAAGCTTGCAGTTGAATCTTTTTTCCCTTTATGATCTATCCTCCTTTGCAGATTTTAGCTCTAACCAAGGAGACAAGGAGGATACTTCCATCTGTAGCCTTGTCTGTCACTGTTCCTCACACACTAAGTCTCCCTGATCAGGTTACCAACACCATTTTTACAATCAGAGTGCATGACTATGTTGATACTATCAATATTTACTTGTGCATATTAATAAATAATCTAAAAATTAACAGGTCAAGCTTGCAGAGTTGCTGGAACAAGAAGGTGTAGATATTATTCAAACTGAGGGAGGAAAATGTTCTAATCCTACAAAATCTGGTGTCATGGGTTTGATTGAGAAGGTAATCAGCAAAATATGGTTGATTTACTTGTGTCCTTTCCTTATTGTCTACATCTTCATTTGAGAATGTAAAGCTCAGCTGATAATGATTAAAAACTCGCATTCATAATAGCTCATTAATTCTTTCTTCCCCAAAAGTTCATACTGAAACTAAAATTTCAGCCCTTAAATAACATAAAAATTAATCTTCGTTTACATGCAATAGATCTTGATCCCTGCTGTTGGATATCAACAAAAAGAGTAATATTTGTTGCATTGCTAAATGATGGTGGATTGTGACAAACCCTTTGTTTAATTATCAAATTTCTAATCTTATCACTTGTGATTGTAGGCAACACCAACTTTAGCAGCAGCATATTCTATCTCACGAGCTGTTAAGATCCCTGTCATGTGCTCATCTGGGCTCAGTGCTGTCACAGCACCTATGGCTATAACAGCTGGAGCCGCTGGTGTGGTATGAATTTTTATTGAATTGCTTCCCAATATGATTCTTACAAACTGATAAACCTTACTATACCCATCTAATAATATCCTAACTTTGTGGTGGCAAGTTGTTGATCTGTGTTTTGTAATCACAGGGTGTGGGATCTGCTGTTAATAAACTTAATGATGTGGTTGCCATGATTGCTGAGGTCAGAAGCATTGCAAGTTCATTGCAGACATCATTTCAGATATGCACTCCGCATGAAGTGGAAGCTCAAAGACAGCAAGAAAAAGCTGAAGGTGGTAGAGCCACTAGCTACTACTAGGTAGTGAATAAAGCATGCAAAGAAAATTTGGATCCTTCCTGAATAATATGAACTGTAGGCTCCATATTTCTTTGTTCTTTCTGTTTTGGACTTGTTCTAATCCAAATTTTTGTACTGCTGGATGTTAATCCCGCAATGTTAAAGAGTTAATAGCAATAATGAGCTATTTGGTTTGGAATTTTGCTTCTCTAATGGATGAGGTATGTCAGTTGAGTGGAATTCAGTATTGTCTGTTATTCTTTTGCCAAAGTCGTGCATCTTGAATGCTTTTGTTCAATGTAAAAAACAAATGTTAACGTACTAAAAGAGATAAAAAATTGTTAGGCCTCTCTCACGAAGAGTCTTTGCATAATAAAGATTAATTTATTAATAAAACATTGTAGGTCTATATTATATGTTGATATTGGAAATTGAGTTTATAATAAAATTTGATTCTACATTGCAGTCTTTTGAGTGTGTTTGGTAACACAAGGAAATATTGTTGCATATAAATGTATCAACAAAGTGCAAGAGTTATGTTTTCTCTCTACTTGCATTTTACTCAGCAAACATATATGCCCAAATTTGCAATTTTAAACAACTAAATACATCTAAGGAATTTTACAATTAACAAAGAAATGATAATTATCAACAAGGACAAACCAGAGCTGACACAATTGAATATACAACTGTTAGTCCCAGTAACTTCAATTAATACAGATCCAAGCTTCGTAGTAAGAAAATAATTACGTGGCTTCACTCATCAAACTCTGATTCCTCATCAGTGTCTTCAAATTCACCGCTTTCCTGCAGAGCAGTAGAAAATAAATTGTATATTGCATAACTGGGCAAATACGAGTCAAACTCACTAGCTATGAATAGGACAGATTGCTTACCATTTTCTTGTTGTATTTGGCCATAGCTCTATCAAATTCTGCACGTTTTTCTGTTGCTATATCATAGTATTGAACCTTCTCCTGCCAGATACTAGTGTTATTGACATATATCCCAGCCCAAATGAATTTTTCTTTCCTTAGACCTAAATGAACAAACTATATGAAAACTTAATGCTCCATTTTTCCAATTAAACAGGTTACAAACTTCAAACTTCACAACCTGCATTTGATTCAGGCATTCAGCAAATGAGCAATGTCACCTACATAATTAATAATGAATCGTTATATATATATATATATATATCATTAGAATTTCTTAAAAGGCCTTGATGTACAGGCTATTTGACCAAGACCTGAAAGACAATCCAGTGACTAGAAAAAGGGGCTGTGTCTCTCAAGTTCAAGTTTTCCCTATATAACATTCAAAATTCAATTCAGACCACAAAATAAAGAATGAAAGAAGAAAACTAATATGCACAAACTTGAGCGCCACTCTGTCATTTGCACTCACTGACTATTGTGTAACTGAACAGTTAACACAAGCAGAATGATAGGTCCATAACAACTGGGCCTCAAATCAAGGTGTACAATAGAAAAAAGAGGGATATAATTGAGAATACAAATTCTGTTAAAAGAGGAAATGGAGGGATCAAACGGCGTGGACAGCTGTCATGAAGAGATTGGAGATGAAGGTGTCATAAATCATACAAGGGAGAGAATGAATATGATGAGGATGATGGGATGTTTACGAGGGGTGTGCATTGTTTTGGGGGAAAGTTGGGGTTGTTGCTGATGCCAGCAACTAGGGCAGAGGAGTCATCTCTGATATATTTTCTTTTTTAAGAATATCCTTTCTGCAATATCTGTTTAAAGCTTATATTATCAGTTCCGATTTGTATTTTGTTTAAATCTATTGCATATCCAAGTTCCTATCACAGAAGTTTCATCTCAACAGTTACACCAACTCTGTATGCCTCAACTGCAAGTCTGACCCCACCCCCACAATGCGTGGCAGTTTAGCAGGAATAACAGAATGATCACAAAGACACACAAACTGTGTGCAATCAGGTCTCACTAAGAACTTACTCAACCTTTTGTGCAGTTAATACGGAGCTGTATTACAAGCCTACAAAGATACCATTTCCAATGTCACCAACACCAATGCAGCACCAAAGTCAAAAAAATACACTCTCCCTCCCTCAATCAAGAAACTTTACAGGGAGTGGGAATTCAGTTGGGGACAAACGAAAATAAAAATGGGAAATATATGTAGTGCTGGGGAGGAATGAATTGGGAGGAAAAAGGAAATGGGGTTGGGCTAGAGGATAAGTGCATATACAGAACTCTAGAGTTATTTTTATTTTCTGCATTTTTTGTTCTCATAAGGAGCTAGCCTCTGTTCTTATCAGCAAATATACCAGTTCCAATTAGTATATCACAAGCTAAAAAAGCAAAAGTAGTCATAATGAATTCCAACTGCTTCAAATATAACAAAATAGTTGTTCTTCTTCACAGAGTTTGTTTACTTGATTTTCAGCCATTAAATGTCACAATCATAGTAATGCAATTCAAGTTGATAAGAAAAGAGGCTACAGAAGAAAACTAACCTCATAAGTCATTGTTTTCCACTTCTCTCCACATGCCTTGCCAATCTGAATGAACAAGGAACAGAGAATAACAAAAAAGAATTACATTACTTGCAAAAATAATAAAAATAATAGAGCTACTATTTTCAGGAAAAAAAGGTATAAAAATTTCTCACTAACTCTTAAAACAATGGGAAATTTTTAACAATTGATGCTTGGCTTTTATGTTTTATTGGATTTTTAGAAACTTCAAATTTGTAAACAATCAATTGTGCAACAATCTTGCTTCCAGAGAAATTACAATAATAAACTAAACTAGAATAAATATTGATAGACTGGATTCTGTACATACATCACGCATTGACTTTACATCTGGATTCTGCTCTTGAAATTCTTTACGAAAATCCTCCCTTAAGAATGAAAAAGAACTTCCAGTAAACACAGTAATTTTGAAGATAAGGCTTTCCATATAAGAAAGAAACATTTGGCAGTTAAATAAGGTCACTATGCTAGGTTCAGTGCTATACATAAAGCAAATAGCAATATATTGAACATAGAACAACAAAACAAGCGAGAAGTAAGGACAAAAACCACCACAGTAAAAACATGTTTAAATGTCATGAATCACGATAATCATGTTTAAAGATGAATGGTCATTTTGTTTTTGACTCTTGAAAATGAAGAGGTGATGCATTAAAAAAAAATTGAATACATGCAAACTTCAACAAATGATGACTTCCTGAGAATTATTCCTCTATAGCAAAACATATCTTACTTTCCAATGTTGCATATATTGAAAATGAAAATGCATGAAATAGAATGAATCCCGTCAAATTTGTTGATGACATTACCTCCAAAGGTAAATGCAGGGATCAGCAAGATGTAAAAAAGAAAAGAAAGTAAGCAAATAATATCAACTTTAGGTTATTAAACCTAACAATGAACCACTAATATTTTGCTACTTTTCAAGAGAGCTTTATATTTCATAAATTGAACATACACAAACAAAGCTATGCAAAGGCCAAACATGTAGAAAATACATACATGAAACTAAAATGGAGCTGAATTCTTATTAAATTCCATAAGCAATTCTAATAAATGGGAAATTCAAAGAATAGTTCACACCTCATAAAAGATTACAAGTAACCAGCATAAATAAGGAAAAAGGGGGAAACAAGAGTAGCTGTACAAGAAGTAGAAGAAAGCAGTGGGAGGTTTCTTTGGTCTCTTAGCATCAATCTTTTGTTTGTTCTTCTTTTGCTTTGTTTTCGGTTTCTTTCTTGAATTAGTCTGCTGAACTGATCTCTTGATTCCCTCGTTTGACTTAATCCTCAACACTAGTTTGCTGAAAAATCCGTTGCAACATAGTATTTAGTTATGGAACTATTTCATAATATATTTAAACGTAATCATCGATCTCTTTCCCCCACCCTTCAGAAGAATAACAACACCACTACACAATGCTTGTATTCACAATTCAGTACCTGGTCTAATTCTGAAGCCATCACATGCAAATCAACAACAGAATTACAAACCAACTTTTATCTTCTATTTACCCTTTTCTCCACTCACTTTGTACAATTAAATGATGAATTTCAGTCTTTAAAGTGATGCGAAGTTCTTTCCAAAGAAATAAAGAACATTCTCAGGCAACCACTTTCAGTTTCTCAGCATTTGAAACAATACATAATCTTGCAAATGACAAACACTTTGACCCAAATGAGACAGATCACATAGACAGAAACATTGAAAAGAAAAAAAACTTCATTATGTTATTTGACCATTCCTTGTGGTGGATTCCATTGGGGAGCGCAGACAAAGCGAATTCAAGTGTGAAACAGTGAGAGGAATGGATAGTGTGATGAGAATGAGAGAGAGAGAGAGAGAGAGAGAGAGAGAGAGAGATGGGTACCCGGAAGAGGCAGAAGTAGAGTCCGAAGAAGCAGAGTGAGGCCTTTGTGCTCTTTTCGCCATGTTTCTTTGGCGCTCAAACTCAAGCTTCTGCAAAATCTGCTAAACAATGGCGTCAGAATCCAGTTGGACCAGCAATTTCACATTTATAAAATTAAATTAAAATCAAAATGAGTTACCCTAAACCCTAACAATGTTGTTTAGTTGGTCGTAAATAGAGAGAATGAAAAAGACTAAAAGAGAGATTTTTTTAACCTACTTTGGTGCAAACAATTGGAACGGAAAAAGAATACGAGGGAATTCAATTTTCATTTTATTTTATTTATAAGTGAGGAGATTTAAAGTCAAATTTATAATTTATAGAATGTAAAAAATAATTTGGTTTCAAAATTTTATTTTATCCTCGTCTCTTTTACTATTACTTATAAAGTTATAATGGTATATTATTTTAAGAGATATCAAAAATTGAAAGGCAAAGATTAACAGTGCATTTGATTTTACATTAAAATGTACATGAATTGGTGTTTACTTTTGGAATTTTTATATTAAATTTATTCTTTATAAATTTTTTGAGGAGTTTTTAGACACACGCTAAGCAATTTAGTGTTCCCTAAATTGAAGACTGTTTGAATGGTGTTGAAGTTTAACACACATCAAAGACTAACTCATGGTATTAATATTGAGTGACAATAAAGATTATATAAAAATATTTATTTATCAATAAACTAATTTATAACTTTTTAAAGATTTATTTTTAAATATGATGATTGAAAAGGTCTTTAAACATTTTTCTTATAAAAATAAAAAATAAAAAATAAAAATAGACTCTATTGGCAAAGCTGTTGTTCCATATCTCCCAGGCAAGATCGCCGTGTGGCCTCATCCAAGCTAAACGAAGCTGCTTTACATAGTCTGTTTTAAAAGCACATTCAAATGCTAATTAACAAGTTTAAATTAAAAATTTTTATCTAAAAATGTTAGTAAAGTATTTAGTGTAGTCTAACATAATTTTTAATAAAAAATTTATTTTAAATACATATATTACGTTCACCTTCCTTTAGTTTTAACATAATTTCACCTAACGGCTCCCCCCTTTTTTGACATTATTTTAACTTAATGATTTACATACATTAAGAAATATATATATATAAAAGAGAAGTTCAAGTAAAAAATACATGAATAAAAAAAAAAAAAAAATAAAAAAAAAAAAAATATATATATATATATATATATATATAAAAGAGAAGTTCAAGTAAAAAATACATGAATAAAAAATATGAAAAAAATAGTAATTTACTGTTTTTTCTCAATAATAAATATCCAGATAAATAAAGAGAAGTTTAATTATCCTTCACCTCCTTTCTTTAGTTTTTTAAACAATTTTGTTCACTTTCTTTTGAAATTTCTAAATCAAAATTTAAATAATAATTACTTTAAATTAATGGTATAAATTTATTATAACTTTAAAAATGTTTATTCAGTCTTTAAACAAAAATTTATGCTATTTTTATTTTAAAAGAAAAAAATATTAATATTTTTAAAAAATATTTATTTTAAAAATTATTTTAACTTGATAAGTCTTGATACTCATTTTTACAATACGTAAAAAAAAACTTAAAATCACATAATTTTATTTAAAGTATTATAAAATTAGTTTATTAATTTAAAATTTATAAAATTTTAAAAAAATTTATTTTAAAATTAACTTTATTTTTTTAAAAATAAAATTATAATTTTTAATATACAAAATAATGCGGTCATAATATCTTACATAAAAAATACAAAAAGTGAAAGATAATAGCACATATAAATTGTTGTAAAAAGGGTACAATAGTTTTTTAAGTATATTTTAATTTATGAAAAGTATTTAAGGTATATATTATAATTTAATTTTTTATATTAAAAAAATTAAAATATTATAAGTTATATATAAATCTCTTATAATTTATTCATCAACTGAAGATAATATAAATAATAGAATAGTATTATATAATACAATAGAAAAATAATCAAATATTTAGTTATCAAATTTATTAAAGTTAGAAACATAATTTAAAATTTAAAAAATAAAATTAATTTTATTTAATATAAAGAGAAATATTTTAAAATAAAAAATATATTTAGATTGATTAGTAAAAATAAGTATTTAATAAAATAAGTTATAATATAATTTAATTTTAAAATAAAATTTTATTTCGTAGAATTTCAAGATAATATTATTATATAAATATATAAATTGTTGTATTCATAAGATAAAATAATTTAAACTTCATTAATAAATTAATTATTTGATAATTAAAATAAAAATAATTAAAAGAATATATTTTAAAAAATAAAATATTTAATTAATTTAAAAATAAATATTATTTAATTTTAAAATATTTATATCACATGAGATCAATAATATTGTAAATACACATTGATTTTAATAATTTATAATGAATAAAATTAGAGACGTTGTACATTAATATTATAGATCGTTGCATTAATTAAGTGAATTAATTTTTAATTAATAAATTATGTTAAATAATAAAATAGTGAAATATTTAAGAATTTTTTTTGACTATTTAATGAAATAAAATTCAAAAAATATAATTTTTATTGATTAATAAATTATATAATTAATTAAAGATGAATCATAATTTTTTAATTATTTAATAATTTAAGAGAATAATATTTAGAAAATAAATTTTAATTAAATAAATAATTATATAATTAATTAATTTTAAAAATAAAATTTAATTCCTAAATACATTAATAATACATAATAAATAAGACAACATAAGTACAAATATCTTTTAACAATTTTTACAATCTATAATTATAGAGTTGTTATATATTAATATTATAAATTACTGCATAAAAAAATATATTTTGATTGATTTAATGAGTTAACTATGAATATAATTTTAACGTGGATAAAAATTTATTTTATTTGATTAATTATAATATGATTTTAAATTAAGAAAAAAATGTTACGTGTTACTTAAAATAATATTGATACACATTGATATTTATAGTATTATAATATATAAAAGTAGAAAATTTATATATTAATGCTATAAATTATTAAATTAAAATTAATTAATTAATTTATACATTTTTTCTTAATAACCCATAAATAAATAAATTTAGATGTATTACAAATATACAAGTTGTGAACTTTTATTATATAATAATATTATTATACATTAGTATCACAGCTGAGAAGAGAGAAAAAGAAATAAGAAAAATCTTGGTTAGATATATATATATATATATATATATATATATATATATATATATATATATAGAGAGAGAGAGAGAGAGAGAGAGAGAGAGAGAGAGAGAGAGAGAGAGAGAGTGAGTGTTAAAGGCAAATTTTGATATTTATAAATTGTTTTGATGCTTGTATAATTAGAATGAAAATAGTATATATATATAAAAACTAAAAGAGTTAAAGATAAAAACAAAATAGTCAAGTATACAGTTAAGAGAGAACAGTAACATAAAAAAATTGTAGACATTTCACGAAAAAAGGTTAAATTAGGTTGTTGGTGGTTTATTGATTGGTATCTCTAGCTTCTGGTGACTAAAAATTTTTTATACAGTGACCTTTTACAGTGGCATACATAGTGAAACTATATTGTGTTATGAATGGTGTAGCGTGCAAGCTTGGATGAATTTTTTGCTTGAGTTTGCTAGGTCTTGGCAAATGCAAGGGCGCTAGCGTTTATATAAAGTGAGCATTTTGATGCTTTACGAGTTCACTGTTTGATGTAAAATGACACTACCATGCTAGTAACGAAATTAGTTTAAAAGAGTGTTTTTCATGTTTTGCTTTCATAAATAAACACAAAGATGACAACTATGGTTCACAAATTAGATGAATAAATAGAAGATAAATAAAAAAAACAAATAAAAAAAAATGTTATTTAGATAAAATTAAGTATTCACGGTAATCAAATAAATTTTCTACAGATTTAAATCTTTTTTTGGCTTTTTCTTTATGGAAGCTGTGTAATTTGGGCATTTAGTTAATTATATATCTACCAAACAAGTGTAAAATTTTCAAAATTTTCCAATTTAAAATAAATCATACTCTTGATACACAACTCATAAAAAGTGAAGGTGTTAACAGAAGAATAGTCCAAACCCGTATAATCTAATAGCTCTCAACCCATTTTAATTCTTGTAAATATTTCTTCATATAAACATTTTCTGTTATGATCCTAAAGTAGATTCTAGAATAGTATGAGCTGAAATTTATTAGGCAAAAAAGAACATTCTTTGGCCTTATTCTTTAGGGTAATACTTATATACAACATTGTATCTTTTTGCTGAAATTAATAACAACACAAACTGAATTCATTCTCAAATCATTATTTCACTGTCTTAAATATCTTTTCTCTTGTCTTTATTTATTTTATAGTATCAGAGCTCCCTCCTGGAGCTTTGCCTGGGTTGTCCTCCCATGTCTTCAACACCTCCCTCTAGTCCAAAGAGAAACGATCCTTCTTCAATACCTTCCTATAGTCCAAAGAAAGAGGATCCTTCTGGTTTTGGTTCCAATGATCCATCGCTCAATCCTTTAGGTCCTTATTTCATCCATCCTAGTGATGGTCCTTCCTCTGTGTCTATTACTCTTATCCTTGATGGAACCAATTACCAGTCTTGGTCTCGTGCTTTCCGTATGGCCCTCATCTTCAAAAACAAAATGGCATTCCTCCTTGGCACAATCCCGGTCCCTTCAGTCAAAGAAACTCTTTACTTTGCTTGGGAGATGCAACACTCTCATCATGTCCTGGTTTTTGACTTCGTTTTCCCCCTCCATTGCCCAAAGCGTCATCTTCCTTGTAAATGCTACCGATAATTGGAACGACCTTGTGAACGTTTTTCACAAGGAGATCTTCTCTGCATTGCAGAGTTCCAAGAAGAAATCTATGGCCTTTCTCAAGGTAACTGTCTTGTCTCTGAATTCTACACTGCCTTAAAAACCCTCTGGGAGGAACTAGATAATTATCGTCCTTTTGTTACCTATTCTTGTGAGGCCAAGAAATACCATCAACAGAATTTTGTTGTTTGAAGGAATTGGATGAAAGTTTTTCTGTTGCGCGTTCCCAAATCTTGCTTATGGATCCCCTTCCAGCGGTCAATTGAGTTTTTCCATGGTGGTCCAACAGGAACGTTAGCTCAGTGTCGTCCCTTCTCCCTCTGCTGAACCCAATAGCTTCGTCAACGCTTCCAATGGCTTCGGCAAAGGTTGCGGTATGTCTGGTTTGTCGCCCACCAACAAAAACGTTTCCAACAAAAAATGCTCTTACTGCTACTGCATCAGACACACTATTAACATCTGTTGGGGGAAGCATGGCTATCCACCGGGTCACCCTCGCTACCCTGGTTGCCCACGGTTCAACAACCGTGACTCCTCTTCTTTTGCCAACAACGGTGCTTCAGTCGACCCGGTGGAGGGACCAACTGCTTCTTCAAACCCTATTACTTTGACCCAAGCCTAATACCAATCTCTAATGGCCTTGATTCAACAGCCCAACTCTGCTTCTAATGCTACAGGGAACAACCTTGTCCAACCCAAAAGAACCAATCTCACTCAAGTTCCTTTTAACCAAAATAATGATTCTGACTCTAGTGGTATGTCATTTGTTTTTTGCGACACTACACACTTCATACACAATACTTCTTCCACTACCCATAAACATAGTGTGCCCTGGATCATAGATTCAGGAGCCACATATCACATTACATCTTCTTTAAAATGTTTTTCAAGTTATTCTAAAATAAATCCTATTCAAATTAAATTGCTAAATAAATCCATTGTCACTGCTTATATTTCTAAAACAGTTATTTTTTCTCCAAATTTCATTCTTCACGATGTCCTCTTTGTTCCTGAATTTCATTTCAATCTCTTGTGTATATCTAAGTTGATTAAGACTTGTAAATTTACTCTTATCTTTGATGATTTCTTTTGCACTATACATGATAAGCATTCGTTGCAGATGATTGGTTTGGCTAATTGAGAACAAGGTCTTTACCATCTAAATATCAACAAAGAAGCCAAGGTCCCTCAACTAAATTTTTTTTTCAATAATACTATCCACACCATCCCCTCTTCTAACCTTTGACATTTTAGACTAGGGCATCTTTCGGAAAACCGTTTAAATATGTTACGTGAACAATTTTCTTTTATTCCAAGTCATGTTAATGAGAATTGTGACATTTGTCATTTTGCTAAACAAAAAAAATTGTCTTACAATCTTAGTACTAGTAGAGCTTTAAAGATTTTCAATTTAGTTCATATGGACATTTGGGGTACTTTTTCCAAAGCTTCAATTCATGGAGAAAAATATTTTTTGACTATTGTAGATGATTTTAGTAGATATACTTGGGTAGTGTTATTAAAGTCAAAATCTGAAATTAAAATGCATGTTCAAAATTTTATTACTTTAATAGAAAATCAATTTGATTCCAAAATAAAATACATTCGTTCAGATAATGGACCCGAATTTTTCTTAAAGATTTATTTGTCACAAAAGGTATCATTCATCACACTAGTTATATTTACACCCCTCAACAAAATGGGCGTGTAGAAAGAAAACATCAACACATTCTTAACGTTGCATGTGCCCTTATGTTCCAATCTAAATTACCTGAATATTTATTGTCTTATGCCATAAAACATTTAGTCTTCTTTCTTAACAGAATATTTTCTCCGGTCACTAATAAACAAACACCTTATGAGCTTTTACATAATCATAAACCAGATTTTTCAATGCTTAAAGTTTTTGGGTCTTTATTTTATTCTTCAACCAATGGACCTTATCAAAAATTTGATCCTAGATCTAGACAAGGTGTTTTTCTTGGATTTCAAACTGGAACAAAAGGGTACATCATTTTAGACTTCTAATCAAGAGAAATTTTTATCTCAAGAAATGTCATATTTTATGAATCAATATTTTCTTTTGTTCAAAATAATCAGGTTCCCAAGGAGACCCAACATAGGCCTCTACTTATGCCAACTAATGCTCAAAACCTTCATGAGGAAAGCCCAGTGCAAATGCCCAATGTTCGCCTTGCAGACTATATCTGTAGCGTCGAGACAAAGCCAAATCAATCATCATCAACATGCTTGTATCCTCTCCAGTCTGTTCTGTCTTATTCTAACATCCTAAGTCTGAGCGTCACTATATAATGAATCTATCCTTTGATATTGAACCTCAAAGTTATCAAGAAGAGATTTTGAGTCCTTGTTGGGTTGAAGCCATGAAAGATGAAATTGAGGCTTTCTGGAAAATTGTTGATACTCTAGCTGGTGTTAAACCTATAGGACACAAATGGGCCTACAAAATTAAGAGAAAACCGGATGGAAGCGTGGAACAGTACAAAGTGCTATTGGTTGCAAAGGGTTTCTCTCAAGTGGAAGGAATTGATTTCTTTGAAACATTCTCTCACGTGGTAAAAAGGCCACTATCCATGTCATCCTCGCTCTTGCTTCTGCAAATAAATGGCAGCTTCAACAACTCGATGTGAGTATTGCTTTCCTCCACGGTGACTTCTCTTAAGAGGTTTATATGACAATTCCTCAAGGATTGCAAGGCCATGGCTCTTCTCAGAGTTGCAAACTCAAAAAAACTCTATATGGCCTTAAACAAGCTAGCCGCAAATGGTATAAAAAGCTTTCTGGTCTACTTATTTCATCTAGTTACAAACAATCACATGCAGATCATAGTTTATTTATCAAACACGATGGAAATAAATTTACAGCTTTGTTAATCTATGTGGATGACAATGTTTTAACTAAGAACTCTCCTGCTGAAATGGCCCAAATCAAACATGTTCTTCATTTGAATTTTCGAGTTAAGGATTTAGGAGCATTGAAATACTTTCTGGGCTTAGAAATAAATCACTCTGGTGATGGCATGTATGTATTACAACGTAAATACTGTCTTAAGTTATTTGCTAATTCTAGAATGTTGAGTTGCAAACCTTGTTCAACGCCTATGGACAGTTCATTGCGGTTGCATCAAAAAGATTTTAGTGATCTTCTTGATGATCCTTTATCCTATAGGCGTCTTATTGGTCGTCTAATTTACCTCACCATAACTATTCTTGACATTGTTTTTGCAACCCAACAACTCAGCTAATTTATGGCTTATCCCACAAAGTCTCATCTAGGTGCTGCAAGGAGAGTCTTAAGATACTTTAAGGGTTCTCCAAGCAAAGGTCTTCAATTCAAGAGGGACACTCCTATACATTAATTGGCTTCAGCGATGCAGATTGGGAGACTTGTGTTGACACGTGCAGATTAATCACATGTTATTGCTTCTTCATTGAGAACTCTCTAGTGTCATGGAAAACAAAAAAGCAAATCCTCCTCTTGCTACAAGTACATGTGAACTACAGTGGCTCACATATCTTCTCAATGATTTAAAAATATTTTGTTCCAAATCTGCAATATTATATTGCAACAACCAAAGTGCACTTTACATTGCATCAAATTCAGTGTTTTATGAGAGAACAAAATACTTGAAAATTGACTGCCATCTTGTTCGAGAAAAGGATCAAACAGGTCTAATGCGGTTACTACAAATTTCATCCTCTTATCAGCTTGCTGACATGTTTACTAAAGCATTACCACCTCGTCTCTTCAAGTCAAATGTATCCAAGCTAAAGTTGATTGATCTTTATACACCTCTAGCTTGAGGGAGGCTAACGGAACACTGACCCAAACCTGTTCAGCCCAATAGCTCTCAACCCATTCTAATTCTTGTAAATATTTTTTTATATAAACATTTTTTGTTATGATCCTAGAGTATATTCTAGAATAGTATGAGCTGTAATTTGTTAGGCAAAAAAGGACATTCTTTGGCCTTATCCCTTTAGGGTAATAAGTGTATATAACATTGTATCTTTTTGCTGAAATTAATAAAAACACAGACTAAATTCATCTCAAATCATTACCTCTGTATCCTGAATATCTTCTCTCTTGTCTTTATTTATTTTAAGTGTTCTTTTAAGATTATACATCTAGAGGCGCACACACGGAGATCATTGATTTCAACTCTAATTAGTGCAAAATCACGAGCTACCAAGGTGTAACTGGTTAGTTCCTTTCTCAAAGACGAGTAACTACTAATTTTTTTCAGTTACCGCGTGCTTGCATACGTCTACCAAACACACATATTTAAGAGATGAACACATGCAGGTAATAATGACGCTGAATGATTATTCGACGACATGAGGTGGTATGGTCTCTTTGGGGTCTTAAAACTGAAATCTAATTTAGAAATGAATTGATCTTGTGATTATTAGAGAGTTGGGCTTGATCAGGGTCAGATCCTAGTTGTGGTGTGTGAGCCAAAACTCGAAAAGGTATCATTTTATCTTGGTATGTAGCTGCAGATCCCCTCGTATGTATAAAAATTTGGTACCTGCAGTGGGGCTCTTTTATATGAATTAACAATTGGTTTTTTCTTTTACTCAATTACTCTACATGGGTTTTGTTGTATTCTTTATAATCAAATTTGCTTATAAAAAAAGAAAAACAAATTTTTCACTTATTATTTATTTCTTGTTTTGATAAGGGTAATACTGCCAAGTTATAAATATTACTCTCTTGATCAGTATTTTATGAGGGAATTTTATACTTATAAAATTTAAATTCCACAATACTATTAAGTGCAAATAAATTGTGAAACAAGTACAAAAAGTAGAAATACATAACATAACCATATTTGGCGTGATTCGTGTAAAAAGTTGTTTTTAGAGGTAACTGCATATTTTATCCCACTTTATGGTTTCAAATAACCATGTTTTTGTAACTTGTAGGAAAAATTCTTCATACTAGGGAGCCGTTTC